GAAATTTAATAGATATAATTATTGGAAATAGCAGCCCATGAAGGGGAAATCCCGTTCTTAACCAACAAGTATAAAGGGACCAAACCATATCCATCGATGAATGGAGCGAGCTATCCCTGAGCTATAGGTATCAAAGCTGACCAAGGAGCTACACATTGTATTTCCAAACTACATGATAGAATTGCCGGTGTTTCTATTGCAGGGTGAAAAAAATAAACAAAAAGATAAGTACATCATTAGATTATAGTTATATATATATATGTACATACATACCCGGGATGATGAACTGGGTTGCCAATCAAAATCTTGGCCATGAATTGCCAACAGAAAAAGCAGCGCTGTTGGATTGTTGGTGGGTTTTTTAAGGTATCCATTTTGACCCAAGGATCAATTTCTTAGGTTTTGCGTGACTTGACAATGTTGATCCACCCACTGGGTTTGAGGTCTCTTTGGGTCTTAGATCCGCAGAATTCAAAAGCCATGATGGCTCAGTGCCATGGTGGCTGCGACTTCGCAAGGGAGCAAGCGTATGATCTCATTCTTTGCATACAAGGTGATCAAGGTGATGCCCACTACCTAGCTAGGGTAACGTGGGGGAGACGTATATATCTAGAGTTAGATGTTTTTTTTTTTAAATACCAGTTTCTAGCTGCGAGGAGCCTTCCATATATATGTGATTGCTTGGCCGGGGAAACCTGTACACAAATGGGCACAAATGCATGATCCTCCCACTTATAGAAACTGGTGAGTAAGCCTGGTGATCGTAAGTCCCCGCCCTATATAAGTGGGTTATCCATGGTTATCCCATCTACAATTGGATTATGGTTATGGTTGCATGATGTTGCATGGTTATTAACCACTTGCTGTCATGGGGTGATGTCATTTGACCGTTCCTTCTGATTTACACAGACATATGAGCCATTCAAAATACTATGGTTCATTGGTTATGAGATGGGAGTTACCCTCTGGTAAACTAACATAGCTATGGAAAATCATCATTTTTAATGGATAAGTCCACTATAAATGGCAATTTTCAATAGCTTTTTGTCTGTTTACCAGAGGGTATACCGGGGTTCTTGACTATGAACTAACCGCAACTAACCCATAGGGGGCATATACAGTAATGACCTGGACTCCAGACTTCGCTATACATCGAGATAAGTCAGACTCCCTCAGCCACGGATCAACAAAAAAGATCCACCGTATTGCTTGGTGATTTTTTTACTGCTGGTTTCAGCAAACTATGAAGCGCGTGTCGTCCAAATGTGGGAACCTGTTATGGTTGAGAAAAGACTTGCCTGGTTTTTATGCTTATTGGTATATATGTCCATTTCGTGAAAACACTTCAGAAGCAAAGGAATGGAATGGGACCCGCGAAACATTTGACTTTTCATTTTTTGGGATCTACTATTTTTTACGTTGCCCTCCCCGATCATTATTCTCAAACGCTTGTTTACACATCCATGCAACCATATATATATATATACACTTACATATACTTACCATATAATACAGTAGGCATAGCGAACTAACTATTGCCCTCAACCATCCAAAATTTAACATTGTTGTGAGTTGACTTGGCCTGAAGATGGCTTCAGAAAACAGACGCTGCACCATGTCCTGACAAGCACAAAGGCCTGCCACAGGGACGACAATGACAAATTACATATCAGCATATATTTGATAGTGTTGATGTCACAATCAGAACAAATCACAATATATGTCAGGATTTCTGTCCGAACATTATCCAGAAACTACGTCAGAATACATGAATCATATCAACAAGGGTTGCTATAGATGGCTTCAAGTGCGGGCCCAAGGCCAAGTCATGATAGTTGAAGGGATCAAACGCGTGGCGAACAGATTTCTGATGTAGAATGGATTCTTAATCATGGCTCGTGCAATCCCCGCGCGAACTTGTGATGTCGACCTGCTGCTTTACCATCTTTACTTCCACTGAAATGCCAAGAAATTTACATTACGGTGAGGCTTACACTACGAAGGAAAACATGTTTTCCCACTCGATTTCGCGGCTCTTTTGTGGTCGGTCAATAAGTAGTGCGTATACCACTTACAGAAATCCCTACACACTTAGATTCCCAATGTTCTATACACAAGGTTGTGTTTTTCTCTTAAAATATGGTTTGCGGAATATTCTAAGTGCAAGTGTCCGACTGCCATGAAGCATCCCACCTTGTTTGGCCTACCGCAAGCCGGGTGGCATGGAGAGCTGCCAAGTGATCATCAAAACATGTTGGCATTTTTTTCGTAGGTAGGACTGTTTTTTCAATGCCAACATGTTTCGTTTTTTTGTTTAATCCCTTATAAATAACAAACAAATATGATAACAATATATAACCCCCAAGGCTCACAAGGCCTTACAAAAGGAGGCCTTTGGACAAAGGCCTTAATCTGGTTGCAAAGGCCTTAATTTGGTATAGCCATGTATAGCCCCAAAAGGCTTCATATACCTTTCAAATCAACCATTAATGATTGTTTCAATAAGTCCCAACCGGACCCCAACAATAACCCAGCTCGTAATGATTTATATATACTTTCACTACACTGGGTCTTGAGCACTGTCGACTCATAAATAAGAAAATTGCAAATCTGAATCATTTGGTTTTGTTCCGTGATTCCATATCCAGCACAACCAACATTTTTTTTTTGTTGGGGGAACCCATTCCACGCTTTATTTAAGTTTTTCCATGCTTTTTTTAGGCCTTTCCACGGCATTTGAAGGCCTTTCCACGGTTTTTCCACGGCCATTCCACGGCTCATATTTTCCTTTTTTACAACATATACGACGTATATATATATATATGTATATATGTTTTTTCTTTTTCGAAATTCATGAAATAGACAAACATAATTTCTGACCTTGCAATTCTGTCCATTGATAAATCATTGTTTTTTATTCTATAGATTTCTATAGTATATATCATATTGAAATCCAGAAACGCCTAAGAACAGCTCTTGATGAAACTTTTGGGCCATCATGGCCACTGGAGGCAAACATTTTGGTAGGGCTATAGAGGGACCCGATTTTGGGCCTTTCGTTTCAAACAAGGTCGAGGCCTTACAAAAGGAGGCCTCTGACGCATAGGGTAACACTATGTTTGTTTAATTGAATAAATTACCATCTGGTTACGACTAACAGTTCGCCATGGAAAATCCCAACCATAAATGGAGGTTTATAGCTGGGAAAATCATCTATCAATGGGCCATTTTCCATGGCTACGTTAAATAACCGGAGGGTAGAGCTACAAGCGGCAAATATTCGAAGCAAACATACCCTCGAAACTCCGTGGTTTATTGATACCTTGGACGCCGCTGTCCTGCAATGACGTGGCAGGTATCATCATGAAATGACCATCATGGAGACTAGTAAGCTCTATTAATGGGGAAATTGTTCAATGAAGCATAGGTAATATATCATATAATGTTAAAAATATATATATTATCATATATATATATATATGTAACGTATGTATATGTATATGTGTGTGTGTGCGCGCCTGTGTGTTCTAAATATGTTTGACGTTAAAAACCATGAAGAACATTGAGGTCCTTCTGAGGGTCACCAAGCAATACCTTCCGTGATGCGTTGAATGCCAAAAAGAACGCCAAAAATATTGGCAGATCCTTTTTTGGCCTTGGACAGCTACACGGAATGGCCATGACCCCGCCACGATGTCTATGCCATAGGTGCCACGCCACAAGGTGTTTGGCATGTTTGGCATATTTGGCCTTCCGGTGGAAAAGGGGCCGCGGCAGGGAACAGCGGGAAATCCAGGATGCTACAACTTATTTGCAGATGATGGCTGATATGTTGATGAGTCCCTCAAATAACTGAAACTGGTATAATCACATCAGCTTTGCTATGTAGATTTGGCCCTCACAGAGCCAGCAGGAGCACTGAGGATTTCCTGATTCCAGCTGTCAAATTCCCGGGGCCCTGCACTGAAGTGACAAAAAGTGGCACGCTGGCCGCTGATCTTGGGATATCTCGGGCTGAGAACGAAGACTGGGCCAAGTTGGATTCATGGGTTGTTGCTTTGCAATGCTGAGATATGAGCCGCTCACCATTTTCTTTGAGAGTATCTAAGATTATCATAGATCATCTATGAACACAATACGTACCTTTGACCTTCAATAGGCCCACGAATAAGCTTTCAGGATGAACAGCTTGATGGTCGAAGTACAGTGGTGACCCTGGGGTATAAGTTGGTTGTACTCATCCAACTACAGATGTATTTACCCTCTGGTTATGTCAAAATAGCTATTGAACATTGCCATTGAAATAGTGGATTTACCCAGCTATAAAATGGTGATTTTCCATAGTTTTTTGTATGTTTACCAGAGGGTACATGTATTTAGCCTAAATTCGATTGTCGGCCTACTTCAATTAAATATGTGTTGCTTACACTCATGCTGAGTCCTGAGGCCCTGGCGCTGCCACAGTTATAGTATTTTTTTTAGTCGCTCCCAAGAACATTAAAAAAAGTACTCGTAGAAGTAACTCTTTACTGAGGTTTGGCTTTTGCTGTTCGATTTGTTTGGGGGTTGCTAAGGTACTTAATAATAGGACAGCACAATGTGAATGTTACTAGTTACTAGTTACCAAGTTACTTGTCAATCTTCCCTTTCGTCTTGAAAATTGTTTTGTGCATATCATCAAATTTCATCTGGTTGGTGGTTTCAAACATTTTTTATTTTCCATGTCATAGAAAAGGGATGTCATCCTTCCCATTGACGAACTCCATCATTTTTCAAGATGGTTACAACCACCAACCAGATCAAATTTCATTAAACATCTCAACCCGGGTCTATGTTAATATACCAGGGGATATATCACCAAAATTCATTACCCTCTGGTAAACTAACATAGCTATGGAAAATCACCATTTTTAGTGGGAAAATCCACTATTAATGGCCATTTTCAATAGCTATGTTAGTTTACCGGAGGGTAAACATCTCAAACATGATCCTGGACTCAGGTTCTGGGCTGCCCTGCTATTCCGCAGTGGAGGACTGGAAGGGCACGCTGCAGTGCCCACGGGGGACCATCTCAACGCAGCCTGGCGCAGCCAAGATTTCGCCACGGATGGCGATTTTTACGGATTTTCCCTGATTTTCCATGATTTTTTGTAGGTAAAACACGATGTAAAATGTAAAACAGCCACATTTGGATGGCGATGTTTATCGATTTTCCATTTTTTGTGGGCAAAAACAGATGGTAAAACTTCCAAAATGTGGGTAAAACAGATGGTAAAACATATGTCATTGTTACCACCCACTGGGAATGGTTTCCACATAGCACCAACCAAATAATGGTGATGACCGGGGGATGGTTGATGGACGTTTCGGCGGACACCATCGAGATTAAAATTTCAGATGTTTGGATTGGTTGAAGGGAAAATCTCCGGGTGAAACCATAGTTTTCCCAATAAAACATAGGGTTTCCATGTAAAATTTCCTTTCATACACTGCTATATGACAAAAACTAGGCTTCTCATTTTCACCACTGTTTTTACAGAAACCAGACCTATGAGGTGTGAATGACATTTTTTTCTGGTTGGTGGTTTGGAACATGAATTTTATTTTCCATTTCATAGAAAAGGGATGTCATCCTTCCCATTGACTCATATGTTCGATCTACCCCCCGCCCAGTAACAGCAGATAAATGATTTTCCTTTAACCTACCCTTTCAAAACGAGCACAAGGAAATTGCTCCAAAAATCTCGGCTAGGAGGTGCCCAAAAAAAAACGTCAACCTGCCCTCCAAACCTCTGATACAGAATTCAGAATTCAAGACAGGGGCTTCACTTTCAAGATCTTTCAAGCATATCAGTTGCATTCCAACATTGAGAAAAGAAGAGCGCAGACTACAGACAATACATTCATGTGTTACCCTGAGAAGGTGCGAGCAAGGCGTCTGCATCGAAGCAAGGACTAGAACATATTGTGAAAGGATTTGGCCGCTTGATGCAACTGGCACAATGCACCGTAATGTGCTCAACCATGGAGTCAGATTGGCCATGTGGGAAAATGGAAATGTTATATACTTGGCATCCATCCTAAACTTTAAATTCTAACCCCCGAGCCCATTCGAACCCTAAATCGCAAAACTTCATTGACGCGTAAGTACCAACCGCCAAAACCAGCACAAGCTAGACACAAAAAGAGCACAAAAAAACACAAAAAAAAACATTAAAAAACACAGAAAAAAGCACAAAAAAGCACCAAAAAAAGCACCAAAAAAAGCACAAAAAAAAGCACAAAAAAAGCACAAAAAAAAACACAAAAAAAACACAAAAAAAGCACAAGGAGACTGCAAAAATAATTGCGAAAAAAATGAAAAAAACTAGCCCGGGCAAGGAAAGGTCCAAAGGGACGACAAAACGAGCACCAGAGGGACCACAAGAAAAGCACAATTTGAGCACCAGCCGAGCACAATTTGAGCACCAGCCGAGCACAATTTGAGCACCAGCCGAGCACAATTTGAGCACCAGCCGAGCACAATTTGAGCACCAGCCGAGCACAATTTGAACACCAGCCGGGCACAATTTGAGCACCAGCCGAGCACAATTTGAGCACCAGCCGAGCACAATTTGAGCACCAGCCGAGCACAATTTGAGCACCAGCCGAGCACAATTTGAGCACCAGCCGATCACAATTTGAGCACCAGCCGAGCACAATTTGAGCACCAGCCGAGCACAATTTGAGCACCAGCCGAGCACAATTTGAGCACCAGCCGAGCACAATTTGAGCACCAACCGAGCACAATTTGAGCACCAGCCGAGCACAATTTGAGCACCAGCCGAGCACAATTTGAGCACCAGCCGAGCACAATTTGAGCACCAGCACCTGGGCAAATCAGAAATGACCAAAAATCAATGCAAAGCAGCTGAGGGACCACAAGAAAAGCACAATTCGAGCACCAGCCGAGCACAATTCGAGCACCAGCCGAGCACAATTTGAGCACCAGCCGAGCACAATTTGAGCACCAGCCGAGCACAATTTGAGCACCAGCCGAGCACAATTTGAGCACCAGCCGAGCACAATTTGAGCACCAGCCGAGCACAATTTGAGCACCAGCCGAGCACAATTTGAGCACCAGCCGAGCACAATTTGAGCACCAGCCGAGCACAATTTGAGCACCAGCCGAGCACAATTTGAGCACCAGCCGGGCACAATTTGAGCACACAGCACCAGCCGGGCCCAATTTGAGCACCAGCCGAGCACAATTTGAGCACCAGCCGAGCACAATTTGAGCACCAGCCGAGCACAATTTGAGCACCAGCCGAGCACAATTTGAGCACCAGCCGAGCACAATTTGAGCACCAGCCGAGCACAATTTGAGCACCAGCCGAGCACAATTTGAGCACCAGCCGGGCACAATTTGAGCACCAGCCGAGCACAATTTGAGCACCAGCCGAGCACAATTTGAGCACCAGCCGGGCACAATTTGAGCACCAGCCGAGCACAAAAAACCGAAAACAGTAAAACCAAAAAAGTCAACTGCGCCAGCCCCAGCCCCAGCCCCAGCCCCAGCGCCACGCCCAGCCCCAGCCCCAGCGCCCCCAGGCCCAACCCAACCCCACCAGCCCCCAGCACCCCAGCCAAGCCCAGCCCCAGGCCCAGCCCCAACCCCCCACCCTTGCGTTTGGTGGTGGTGGTTGTTGTGGTGGTGGTGGTGCTGCTGCTGCTGCCGCTGCTGGTACTGCTGGTTGTAGTGGTCGTGGTGGTGCTCTCGCTGGTGGGGGGCGGTTGTTGTTATTGTTGCTAGTTGTCACATTGCTAAGCTGTCGTAGTTACTAAGAATTGCTAAGGTTTCCAACGGAATGTTGGTGATAAGTTGGCCAGTTCCTAGCAAATCTGTAGCAACCAGAGCCGAGAAGAGAGAAACATACACCTGTGCAGCTTGATTCCTTCCGATTCACATGAAACATTTTTTCAACCATTTGATGATTTACATATTCATGGTGTCTACCTGATCCATTGTTTGGTTTTGGTATAAGAATTTATCCGTATCATATCACCAGATTAGACCCTTATTTTCTGCATTTGGCTGGTGCTCATTTTGTGCCCCTGGCTTGTGCTCACTGTTACTGCCCCGGGGGTAGATCAAACTCATATGTTTCAAGATGGTTATTGCACCACCAAGCAGCCACAGTTACCCTCTGGTAATTTGTTACATAGCTATGGAAAAATCCACCATTTTTCACGGAAAAATCCACTATAAATGGCCATTTTCAATAGCTATCTTAGTTTACCGGAGGGTAAATCCCATTAAAATCCCATTAAACCACCATTTTCCAGAGGGTAAACCAGTTGTTTTTTTGTTCACTGGGCCGAGCTGGGCCGAGGATTGGTTCCCAGTCTCCGGAAGATTGCATCCAGCAAGGCGAGCTGATTGCAGTGACGATTCTTGGAGCTACAAAGCCAGAGATGGGGCACTATGGGACCTACAAACTTTATTTCCTTTGCATAATATATATATAATGAGTTTGATTATAATATATATAATATATAATAATTACAACATATATTTATATAATATACAATATATATATATACAGTTATCTATGAATTTAAATGTTATTATATATGCATATGTATAATTATGCATATACATAGCCAAGTCATAAACCAACTTTGCCAACTCTCAAACGATTTGTCGATTGGTTGGCCTGTTTTTGTTCAAAGCCGAAGCATGATGTCACTTGGAGTTGTGGCTACCTTCGAAAGTTATCATCCAAACACCTTCCGACCTTTACAGATGATTACAGATCTATGTTGCATGTCATGCGTTCAAGTGATGATGCAGGCAACTATTCGTAGATAACGATGACAATTCCCAGGGGCAAATCAGCATCTCATCCCTGAAGATGCGTTAAAAGCACTTGTCAAACCAACGGCCAGCTTCTGGGAATAGCAGCAAGAAGGGGGTTCCTGAAGTTCAAGAAAGGGCTGGCATGTTTAGATAACTACCCTCTGGTAAACTAACATAGCCATGAAAAATCACAATTTTATAGCTGGGTAAATCAACTATTTCGACTGGGCCATTTTCAATAGCTACGTTAAATTACCAGAGGGTATATCCCATTAATCTCCCATTGAATCACTATAAAATCCCATTGAATCACTATCCATTGAATCACTATAAAATCCCATTGAATCACTATCCATTAAATCACCATAAAATCCCATTAAATCACTATATATACCATAGCTTTTTGATCCTTTTGGCATCGTTGGGTAACTGACAGCTGTTTTGTTCCACAGCTCCTTAGCTCCAAGGTTTGGCCAGCGGAATCCCGCTGGCCATGGCCAGGATCATTGGGCCCCGTAGCTGTCTCCATATTGTTTGGCACCAAAGACTGCTTCAGCAGGGCTCAGTAGAGTCTGACTTGAGGCTGGCAAGTTGGTCCACATCCATACTTACATTTGTTATATCCAAACGTTTGGTGAATGTAACCCTGGTTGCACCAACAAAATAAGGCAAAAACGTTTCAACTGCACCGCCCAATTGCTACAAAGTTGGTTTATGAACCCATTACAGCATATTGAACCATAAACCATAGTTAACCGTGTATGTTTGATGGACTTCCACCTTTTTCCGGACGTCTGGACGTGCCGTTTGTGTTGAGGAACATCTACAGATGTCCCTTGTGCCGTGGGGACCTGGAGTCGGAGGTATACCCTCCAAGTACTTACAAGGCAAGGCCCCCATAGATATCTAATTTAACTTATAATTGTACAAGGTGGTGCCCCATAGTGCCCCAGTTCGTTAGCTAAGTTGGTGAACATAAGTCCAATAACTAGCTAGGCTTGATGAATGGGGGTTATATCGAAATAGGGGTTATAAAATGTTATAAACCAACAAACATCACTGGGGGGTACCACCTTGTAACTAGGTAAACTCGCGTTTATGGGAGATATAACTACGTATTATGGGGATTTAACCAGGGAAAATGTGGATCTCATGGGGATATGACTGACCATCTCCAATTGGATGCGTTTGAAAAGGGGCGGATATCTCCAGTTGATGGCCATTCTAATATTTTCTTTTTATAATAGGAATAACATAGTAATGAAAATATATAACATACCATCATAGCTATCATATTAATTAATATTCTACTTTTATATCTTATCAGTTCTTTGTAAATTGGATAGGAATAGCATAATAATAATGATGACGGACTAATGAATGGAATGGTGTGCCCCTGCATTTTCAGTACTCAATGATTCGGCCACTGTCTAAGCTGATGAACATCAGCATGACTGGCACACCAATTACTGAGTCAATTGCTGCGCTTATCCATCAATGCATTGGTGGAGCTCTTCATTCCGACCTATGTTAAAGCCCGTGGTGTGACACGTGCCAAGAGGTGCCCCAGCTCCTTTTTCACTCCGTATGCTTGACAATGACAACACAACCAACTTGCAACTCCCACACCACACCAGCTACAACGAACTGCAAAGCAGCTACAACGAATTGCAAAGCAGCAGGTCCGTCTTCCTCACTTGCTGCAATTCCATGTCCCAATACGGGATAAGGGGCCGGTACGAGCATCCTTCAGTGGCGCTGGGATCTCTCCCCAGCCAGCCGATCTGTAGGGACATCAGGAAGAGGGGTTCTTGGCGGTCGCTTCTGCCGGACTGTCATCCGGGCATTACACCTCGGGTTTCTTCGTGTACACCAAGCAAGACAGGGAGCAGTTTGTGCGTCCAACCCTTTTTTCAGAAGTCGCTCCACGCTGCATTGCTGGTGGCAAACTATTCTTAACATCAAGCTTGACAGCGGAGCAAAGTGTGAGCTGATTGTGTTGTAGGCCTTGTACCGTAGTCTCTCTCGATGTTTATCCCACCCCTAATATGCTACTGTAGGTCCCCAGTCAGTCCAGAGGACGAGTTTAACGCGGCCGTTTGAGTAAAGGACCTAAATGACTAAAGGCCTAAAAAAACTCATACCTTGACCAGATTCAACATGTCCACACCGTAAGATCAGCAGCATTCACATAGAGCGGGAGCACTCACGAGAAAATTTTGTCGCAAAATCACAAACTTTTTGTTTTTTGGTCCTTTTTGAGCAAACCTGATTTTGCAGGTTTTTCACGGCCTTTTCACATGCAGGGGTTTCACTGGTTTTTCGTGGCCTTTTCACAGTTTTCTCACGGTGTCACTATTTTTGCAAATCTCGAAGGTGCGCCCTTAATTTTTCGATCATGTGATATCTTTGGGGGTGGGACCTTTCTCGGCTAAGTCTCACAAAAACACGACCTCAAAAATAATCACATACAGAAAACTTCAGTCTTAAAGGCCTAGTTGAACCAGGTCTACTTGGACCGACAGGGGTCTCTCACTCGTCCCATTTTTTTTTACGGAGAAACGTGCTTATCATCCAATATGTGGAAATCTCACCCGGATTGAAGTCCCATGTTGACTGTTTTAATCTCAATATGTGTGAATATAAGTTCCTTTGCGTATGAGATCCTAGTTTCTGATCCTCCAATCATATTTATATTATTGAAATAATCCCTATCTTGATTGGCTAAAAGCAAACATGTTCTTATAGTTCTTGGTTATATCCCTTATTTTGGTTCTGCACCGTTCTTGGTGCCACCTTTCACCCAAAGCGCTTGTTGTTGGTCGATCGACACCACGCAGAGGTTACCCGCCGGTGGAGATGCGCCCCTGCAGCGAGGGCAAATGGCCCGCCGACTATGTGTTCCTCGGAGCGGGAAACTTCCCACGGAGGGCACTCGCGGGGCGAGGACACGGCAGAAGGGAAAATGCCAATGTTTGCTGAAGATCATGTAGTGAATCTAAAGTCAAAAACCACCCCATGAAAACCAACCCTCACTTGGGGATCATCATAGAGATCATCCCAGAACGAAGTATGCCCAGTTTCATAAACGTCAAATTCCGGGATGGTGACCTCATGGCATGGGGTTTACCACATACCCAACTGCTGATTGTGAAACGTAGATTTGAAATGATGATTACCTGGTTTGAATATGTTTGAATCCCATAGGATCCATGTATGCTATATATACATATATGTATGGTAACTATATGGTAACATTTACCATCAATATACCCCAAATGTTAGCATATATACCAGCACCATGGATCCTATGGGAATGGGATTGTGAACCAAACCTTCTGAGATAGAAATCGCCAGAATAGCGTGGTTCTTTCTGCTTTAGCGATCTTCACCGGGCTGCGGTTTGGCAACTAGTTAAACCAACATGGCATTCATTGCACGTATTTTACCAAACAAAACTACATGGTTTTTCCCATAAGAATCGGATTTTGCCAAGAGATACATTGAACTAATCCAGTGGGATCAAGTGTAAGCCATCCAGTGGGATCCATGATCCGAATCAGAATTTGCTGACAAAAACGCTGGAGTTTGTCATGTTCATCCAAAAAGAAAACGCACGTGTTCACGCAAAAAACACGGGGGTCACCAAAGACAGCAGTTGTTTCAAGCCATTCATGCGAAGTCATCAGCCGCGGAGGTGTGACATGGCTGTTGAAGTCTTGTGCAACATCAGATCCTTGGGCCCAACAGCGAGGCATTGATGCCGGGGAGATTTGTCAGCAAAGTTGTGTATAACTCCAATTTTTTTGGTTGACATTGGTTAATGGATGTTAATGGTCTATGAGTGTCTGTACTATACTCAATGAATTTACTGTGTTTTTTTCAGAAAACCCACCTTTTTTACAAGGCCCCCGCTAGCTGCCTAGCTGTTAAAAATCGTCAAAAATCGACGGGAGATTCACCATGGGGAGCCTGGCCCTGGCCGCCCGGACCCAGTGGGGGACAGCTAGCGCAGTGCGCGCTGACCAAAAACTTCATGGTTGGTGGTTTGGAACATGGCTTTTATGACTTCCCATATATTGGGAATAATCATCCCAACTGACTTTCATATTTTTCAGAGGGGTAGGTCAACCACCAACCAGCTTCCAAATTGTGAACAGTTGCCCGAAAGCATCAAAGAGCACGTTTGCTCAGGAGAATTGTGTTCGAATGTGAAGCATTCTTCCCAAGTCAGCCCACAGGTTTTTCCCCCCCAAAGCTCCAGAACACTGTGGTCCCACGCTTTGTGGTCCCGGGTGGCAGTTGATCAGATTCGGTTTAAGCACAGTGATTTTTAAGTAGACCCCACATGGCAAAAAAATCACCCCAACTCACCGAACTCACCGCTCCACTTAGCCGAACCCTTGGAGTTTGAGAAGTATGACACGGACTACAAGCTCCTTGGTGGTCGCTACAACGGTGGTGGGCTGAACTCGGTAATATGCTTGACTGGCCCTCCTGGAAAAGCCTGAAGTTCTTCAATGTTGTCATCAGTTTCCCCATTGAAACAGGCTATTTGGGGGTCTACTGTATACTACATGTTCAGACACAAAGCCAATGTGGAGACAAGACGGTATCAGGACATATTACGACTATTTTGGTACTGGTAGGACTTTACTGTTTTCTATCTTTTTGAGGTTGCGCAAGTGTAGCATGTGTTGATATGTCATGTCATGTCAGGATTGAAATAGCTTCATGTCAGTTTTGCACATGTTCCATGCCCTAAAGTGGATGTTTTATACCTGGATTCTTAAGATGGGCGCCAACCCCATCCCACCCAGCATCAGCCAGCAGTTTTTGGTGAAAATCTGCGACACATGTGTCGAGGAAGTCCTTCGTGTGGGGCTCCAAGATTGATCCTACAGACCCTGAAAGCAAAACGGTGGCCTTCTACGGTTTCGATCCCTTCGAAGATGAGGCGAGACTGATGGCATTTAAACTTTTGGAAGGGGGGTGATGGCTGTGGCTTTCCAGACTCCTAGGATGGCAAAACACGCATATATATATATATGCGTGTATATGTATATATATATATATATATTTATGTATATATATATATATATACATGTATATATATATATGTGTGTGTATATATATATATGTTTATATATATGTATATAAATGATGATATATACACAGGTATTTGCACGGCATAGATAGCTCGCGAGAGTGCACTGGCACTAATTTTGCATTTCTCGATGTTTGTCCTTTGGAAAGATGGGGCTTCTGGATCCCAGACTTCCCCAGTCCCTATCACTGGACGGCCCCTTGGTTCACCAAGCTGCCTGAATGGTTGTGAAATGTTGGCCAACGATCCTTCCATTGGTTGTTAAAATGCCATGTTCTTTTGGCAAAAATCCCGTTATTGCTGCTTGACTTTCCAGATTTAATCCTGTTTGCAAGCTGGCCAAATCTGCAGGTTTTCTTGCGTACTTCACGTGAACCGCCCGTAGGTTTCAATCGGTTTGATCAGCTTGGCGTTTTTTTTTCTCTCCCTTGAGCAAATAATAGAACACATCTTCATCCCAGCCACCAGTCTTTGTAAGTTTTTTTTTATGTTTCCTCCAAAACATAGGAAGTATTGAACATATTTACTTATTTTGTTGCTGCTTTCTATACATTGTTACTCTTGTCTTCAATTCTTTCACCTGTTAAGTTGTTTGTTTCTCCTCTCCAATGTTGTCTTTAGATTATTCAGATTATATATTCACCACATTTCCTCACATGTTTCAGTTCTACCCCGATTTTTCAATGGTTTTTTAGTTTTAGCGTTTTTGTATCCACCCACATGAATTCAGCATTTTTCAGCCGTCTCCCATTCTCCGGCGTCCAGGATTTGGTGAATAAACGTCCCTTCCATAGCTTCGAGCTGCAACCCATGGACATCGCCGTTCTGGACTTTTCCTTCGATCGCATCTCAAAGACCACCCTGGTGCCATGGTCGTGGGGATGTTTTGGGATGACTTGATGCTTTGTTTGGTGAGTTGAAATAATTGAACCCCAGAAATTTATGTTATTTTGATGGGATTTGACCGGCCAAAATAATGATTTAATGATACATATACATATACATATATATATATATATATATGATGAGGATATACCCTCTGGTGCTCAAACAGGCTGGCTGGAAAATCCATTAAAACATGGCGATTTCAAAAGGGATTTTCCATCGAACCAAAGGGTTGATTTTTCCCCACCTGCCAGGTGAGGGTTGTTAGATTTTATGTCAGTTGCCTCCTCCTCCTGCTCCTCCTGCTCCTCCTGCTCCTCCTCCTCCTGCTCCTCCTCCTCCTCCTCCGCCTCCTCCTGCCTCGTCCTCCTCCTCCTCGTCCTCCTTGTCATCCTTGTCGTCCTTGCTCAACTGCGACCCGCGATCCACGGTGTTCTCTGCCGGACCTCAACCACGACCACCCACGCCCAGTGTTCCCTGCCGGACCTCAACCACGACCATCCACGCCCAGTGTTCCCTGCCGGACCTCAACCACGACCATCCACGCCCAGTGTTCCCTGCCGGACCTCAACCACGACCATCCACGCCCAGTGTGCCCTGCCGGACCTCAACCACGACCATCCCCGCCCAGTGTTCCCTGCCGGACCTCAACCACGACCATCCACGCCCAGTGTTCCCTGCCGGACCTCAACCGCGAGTATCCACGCCAAGTGTTCCCTGCCGGACCTCATGTAGGAAGATATGGGACAAAGAATGCGCAGAAGAAAGTTAGAAAGAATGTCAGAAAGAATGTCAGAAGATATGTCAGAAGATATGCCAGAAGATATGCCGGATAGAATGCCAGATAATATGCCAGAAGATATGCCAGATAGAATGCCAGATAGAATGCCAGAAGATTTGCCAGATAGAATGCCAGAAAATATGCCAGAAGATATGCCAGATAGATATGCCAGAAGATATGCCAGAAGATATGCCAGAAGATATGTCAGAATATATACCAGAAGATATGTCAGATAGAATGCCAGAAGATATGTCAGAATATATGCCAGAAGATATGCCAGATAGAATGCCAGATAGAATGCCAGATTGAATGCCAGAAGATATGTCAGATAGAATGCCAGAAGATATGCCAGATAGAATGCCAGAAGATTTGCCAGATAGAATGCCAGAAGATATGCCAGAAGATATGCCAGAATATATGCCAGATAGAATGCCAAATAGAATGTCAGAAGATATGTCAGATAGAATGCCAGAAGATTTGCCAGTAAGAAAATGTATAAATGTCATGGTGGGGATCACACGAAGTAAAGTAATTGATTGCCGGAGGGGATGTGATTTTTTTCACGGGACAATCACTCCTTGGAGGATCACTCCGCTTGTAACTCTAACTGGTTAGTGTTCGTGGGGTTAAAGTTACAAGTGGGATATCTTTGAAATGAAGAACTTCCGATCACCAGGCCCACTGACCGGCTATTTACGGGATACTGTGGGAGTAGTATAAGTTTAAGGTCAGATTGTGAGTAGTAAAAGTTTAAGGTCAGATTGTAAACTTCATTGGGTGGTATGTGTCGGTTGAATTTCTAATATATAAGTAACTATATACTCAGACTCCTCCTTCCCAAGGCATGATATATCCCAAGGTATGATATATCAGTTTTGATTGATTGGACATTTTCCTTAAAGACAAAACCTGCGACAGTGACCCAAGATTATTTTTTGAAGAAAATAAAATGTCAACCCTAGATTAACCCTCTGAATGGTCCGAAATATTTGGTTTCATCCCCTATTAAACCATGGCTTCTGGGGGGGTGAACAACCACAATACTGCGGGCTGTTTTATTTGGAATCTGTGTTTTTTCTCATCAGCCAGGCGTTTATCCAAAAATCACAAAACATCGCACCCTGCGAATCCAAGGTAAACGCAGGGGAGGCGGGCCACTTCAACATTCACATCCACTCCACGTGGCATGGCGGTGGAGATGGCTCAACCTTGAGGTTTTCTCGGGATGAACTCCCCCAAACCAAAAGGGAGTTGCTGAGGGTGATCAAGTTGAGACAACTGGGCCAAGGTCAGTGAATGGCCGAGGGAATCGTATTTCCAAACAATTAGGAAAAATATATAGGTTGCCGTAAAGTCGTGATGGTGGATTGATTTGCGAGTGCACAAGAACATTTTGAAACGAACACGGCTACTTCAACGCAGGAATTTGAACATATCATGCGCCATGGAGCCTTATAAAAGGTGGGTTTTGTACCAATGCGTTCGCTGGGTGCCGCTGATGTAATGGTCTTTGCTGATGACTCCTGCATTCCCAGCATGGGTCCATATGCCAAACTTACCACGGTAGATATGTTTTTTTCCCCCCAACTGGTTGGTTGATCAAGGGCATGTAGCCGTTCCATTTTTCACAGCGGCTGTGTAAATATTCAATCTCAAAAAACATGACATGTCCACATTTGGTTGGTGGTTGGAACATGACTTTTATTTTCCAGAATATATGGGATAATCCTTCCCATTGACGAGCTCATATTTTTCAGAGGGGTAGGTCAACCACCAACCAGACATGTATATCCCCATGATCTCCCAATTGCTCTTGAATCCACCCATTTCGATGGTGTAACATGTGGTATATCCCTGTATAGTTGGGATAACAATCCAACACCTTACATCCCAACCTATCCCACCTATATCACCATATGTATATTATATATATATATATGCACATGTATATTTAATGTAATGCAATGTAATCTAATCTAATGTAATGTAATGTATATGTATGCATTTAGTTATTTACATTACTAGTAGCATTGCTATTACCATTAGAAGTTTGCTTATAAATCCATGACCCATAGTAATATCACCCTTTTTTGGTTCCCCAAAAAAAACATACCCCAGAACCCAGGCTCTTGGACCCCAATGACCCGGTGCAACAAGCGCGTGGCCATTTGCTGCCGCCCTTCTTCTGGCGTACTTTGGCGGTTTATTAAAAAGTGGAGGTTTGAGCAAAAACGGCACCCTGGAGTTGACTGTCTCTGAAATACACATGGTAACCAGGCTCGGAAGTACCCGGCCTGGTAATTTCACGTAGCGACATAGAAAATGGCCATAGAAATAGTTGCTTTACCCATTTCAAATGGTGATTTGTGATAGTTATGTTAGTTTACCAGAGGGTAACCAGGCTGAATGTTTTGAATATGTTTGAATGCTGGAGTGACAAAATTTGTGTGTCCTGTGTGATGGCCCAGTTTTGAGCCAAACCCATAGATTCTGATGGATTTGTCCCATCCTTCTTACATAGCTCTCTCAGCTAAGTGGTCGGCAGGGCTGCTCGTTTGAGGACTTAGCAACCATGATCATGATTTTGAGAAGCAAACTTTGACTTGTCAAATCAGAACAGGTCGGATGAGCAAATCATATTCATACCAGTAGTGCGCGCTACATGCTTGACTTGTAGATTTGGGGGAAGGAATTTTGCAGATGCTGCAAGTATAATATTTGCATATGTTCGCATGGCATATTATCCCAACTGTTCGACACTTCAACAGAATCACGTGGTGCCTACTGACGAGGGTAATCCCAACCACCCCATCCCCGGGGATCCCAGTGATTTGCCGAAGATGATTTTGACATGTTCCCATGGGGTACACCAAAACTGGGGAATCAACTTGCTTTTGCTGTTTTTTAAAGTTTGTCTTTGGGCCCGCTTATGGCACGCCCCCAAAAAACATAAAAGAAAATCCTGCGAAAATCTTCGTAAATGGAACCTTTTGTCCATTTTTTGGGGGTTTTCCTATCAGCAACTATCGCAACCATGGCGGCGTCAAAATCTTCGCACCGTCCGCTCAGGTTCCATCAACACTCGGCTCCATGTGCACACACAACTGAAGATCATCGCCTTGGAGCAGTGACTCTCCAGAAATCTCCGTGGAAAGCGGGTCGACGGGTCGATGGTCTCCGTGGAATGCGAGATGAATTGAAGTGAAGAGTAATGTTGGTAAAGCAATAAAATCTTCAATCTCCAATTGAATTAGCCATAATTAAAATTAAAGGGCTGGTATAGACCATCAATCCATATGGGTGGTTTATGGCATTGCTTTACCAACATTAGGTGGTTTCGAAGCAATATTCATCCCCAACCAGCAATATATATATATATATACTGTATGTATTACAAATGTTTTTTGTGGGATAAATACATCGTATAGTCATCCTGGAGTATATAGAATATTGAATTTCGCAGCTATTTGCTACTATGGGCACTCTATTTCCGGAGGACTGCATAGTTTGTGTGTATAAAAGAGGATGTACCATATTTCAAGTGAGTGATACTATGACGTACTACCGACTTACTCATGAGAATGCATTCTGAGATGATAATCGGGATGTACCCTCTGGTGAACTAACATAGCTATTGAAAATGGCCATAGAAATAGTGGATTTTCCCATGAAAAATGGTGGATCTTTCCATTGCTATGTGGCTGTTCACCAGAGGGTATTTGGGATTGAGGATATCATGGTGGTTTTTAATGGGATACGTTTACAATCTACAAGATTCAACGATCAAAACCTGGGATCCAAAGGTTCAACATGAACAGCTCTGACTTGAAGTTTCACAGCACCAACCCAGCCGGTAATTCGAATACCAGGTGCCCAGGTGCCTGGTTGCAAGTTGTTTTCGAATCTCTGGTTAGAGCTATCTCTACAGATCTCATCATGGTTATAGTTCTATTCATCCAACTTGGCAAGTGAATTTTTGGGCACCAGCTAACGAAACTCAGCTGGATCAGACCTACAGTATTCAGCCAAAGCGCCTGAGGTTCAGCATGAGCGTTCAATTGGATTTGCTGCATGGTGGTCACGTGCAGAATTTGGACACCTTCAATGAGCGTTTTGGCGATTTTCAGGGCATGGTCTTCCAAGAAAATTGTGGGATGTAAGAAATGGTAAATCTATATACATGTACATTACTGCACATATATTTATATATTTTCGATGTAGTATCATGATGAATATCATGGGTTTCTTAAACAGTCTCTGACAACATTGGGTCATCCATGTAGTAAAGGGATGATATCCGTCAGCATACCCCCTCCAAATGGAACATATGGAACCCCTCTAATTTGGCAATGAACAAAAGTAGGTAATTAGTTCATGATAATCATTTTCCAAATCCCATGAATTCGGGTCCATGTGACATTTAGGGTGTATATCCGTTTTTGTTGGGGTTGGGTTGGCAAGTTGGGGAGCGAAGGTTGTATAGTAAGATTGGCTATGGCAGCTATGGGACGTTTTTGTTTCCAGGGGCCCCCGACATGATAATGACAGATATGATGCCATGCTGCTCCCTTGGAGCAGTGTTGACACTGAAGTGGTCGCTGGTGCTGCCTCGAAAAAATGCCAGAAAATGCCAGGGAAATGTCTATTGATCTTTTAAATTGGTTTGGTATACTACTGAAGGGTTATCGAATTTGAGTACCATTGACCTGCTTGCATCTGTGTATCTATGCACGCCTGACTGGTGGTTTCATGTTCTTTACTTTCTCATCCCTCCTAGCCACTCTCACATATTTCATGGCTCCACCCAATAATCATTCGTGCACTTTTTGTGATCAGAGGGATTGACTTTGTTTTTATTGCTGTGAACCCATGCTTGATAGTGCAATTTTCAATTGCTGGACGTGGCACCCAAGTTTTGCGTGTTGGTCTATGAACCCCATCTAAGTATAGGTATGCCACCATAAATCCAATCGTTGCCCTAGTGAAATAAACCAATGGACCGATCATATACATATACATATATATAATTATATATAAACATATGGTCATTTATAGTTATAGAATTCCCTTTTGTTGTTCTTGATTGAACCCCAATATGCACTTAGTAAGTAATATTCTATGTTGGTTGCTAAATAACATTGTTGCTGATTACACTCACCATCGACATCGGTGAACCTATCGTTTTGCAGGGACCAAGTTAAAATCCCAAGAGTTGTTGTAACCTCTACGGGGATTGGCTACAGCTATATCATGTGTTAGCTCACCACCATTGCCAACTTGACCGACCCATAGTTACCCTCCGGTAGTCAGACGTGACAATGGGAAAATCATCGGTAAACTGATGGATTTTCGATTTCCATGTTTCATTGGCGGATGGTATTTTCAACCAATTTAGCAATCATCAACAAGTATCAATCATTATTACAATATTGAACCGTTATTAATCATTATATACATATTTAACTACCATGACTATGACTATTATCCATTATTATCCATTAACCACAACAGTGACCTTTATATTTGGACAACCTTAGCCTTGCTAAATCCCATCCCGGAATCGCTTTTTCCCAGGGTGCTGGACATTCACCGCTACAGCCCCTCGCGTGCGGATTGGGGCAAGCGCTTCTTCTTCTGCCCAGTGATCTCGAAGGCTCACAATGGGTTTGGGCCACGTTGGGACGACAAATGGAGGTTTAATTTATGAATAGTTTAAAATTGTTTTACCTATAGTTTAATAGGGATGATCGCGGAATATTTGGCTTGGAAATTCATGTACCCCTCGGGAATCAAGAGTGGCAATTGACAATCCGGTTAAAAAATGTGGTTCTAAGTTGTAAATCATCGATAAATGGGGGGAAATGTCCATTGATATATGGATGTTTATCCACCAGCAAACAGATGCTTCGATAAATCTCGATCCATGGCCACATGGCGTCGAAAATTATGTTTGTACGTCTCCCTGCCCCTGCAGATGTTTTTTTCGACGCCATAATTCAATGTCATAAAAACATAACCACCATTTGGATTTGTCTGAAAATGGTGGGTACCGGGATACCTCCAAAAAAAACATTGAATAGGAATAAACATATGAAACAATATGATTGTCCAATGGATTTGTGGGCACCTTATTTTTCAGACAAACTCATATTTCAGTTAGGGTGCGGCGGGGATCATTATCAGTATGGCAGAGGTGTTTCAGATTACAACAAGCTCAAGGAGTGGTGATGCTGCCTTAAAAATATGGTCAAAGTCCTGCTGATTTCCTGCTGATTGGTTTTTTCAGTGCTTTCTGTGGTCAACCCTATTTAAAATCATGATGAAAGACTTGTCTAATTTCTTTTGTCATGGCCTAAGAAAATCCCTCTCATGTCAACCCACAATTAGTCCAGAACAAGTATATATGGTTGGTGGTTTGGAACATTTTTTTATTTTTCCATTTGTTGGGAATAATCAGAGGGGTTGAAACCACCAACCAGATATTATTGATATCGGGGAGTGCATGAGGATGTGGAAATTCACTTGTAGATCATCGTCCAAGAGGTTCCCCTGTTTTTTTTCCGGATTTGTTTGTATGTGTACCTCGGTATTCCAAGTACATCCTACTACATCATAATATCCCAGTCATATTCCCATCAATTTGCCTGGATTCATCATATTAACTCAGTGTTGTTGGTTAGATTATCATTGACAAGCATGTCAACTATTGTTATCCCAACCTTTTTTCCTATAGGTTTAATCGCATCCCCATTTTCTGATATCCCCTAGAATCAGGCATGTACCTTATATCATCCCCATTTACTCATTTTTGCTGGTTACTATTTGGATATGCATCCCCAGTTAGCAACTGGCATACAAACCCCCAAAAAAATCACTGGAATCCATTTGGGGTACACTATGGTTGTTACCGCTTGGTGGGAAAAACTGGGATGTGCCCCCCAAGTCCTCATGGGGCCCCACGGCCAGGAAGCATTGCTGGACGGTTTCTACGAACTGCCCTACAACATGCCTCCGGGCTTCGCCAGTGCCGTAGGCCCGGATGATTTCAATAGGTGGACTGCAAACCAACAGACGTGGGGTATACCCTCTGGTAAACTAACATAGCTATTGAAAATGGCCCATTTATAGTGGATTTTCCCATGAAAAATGGTGATTTTCCATTGCTATGTTAAATTACCAGAGGGTAATACCATTTTGTGAGGATATATTGAGGATATGGTACAAATAGATCAACATTTACATTATCAATAGGCAACAACATGGTCTTTGACTGTGGAAGCCAACTGGGTAGGGGTTTAGCATGGTTTAACCGTCTAACCCAACAATGTATAGAAAATCCAGCATCATGAATGTGGGAAAGCAACTGTTAAGTTTGGTCGTTTAGTACAACTTATTCTTGTGTGATTTTGACGGGTATGCATACTACTCAGCCAAGAATGCAGTGTATTTGCGATTGGGAATGAAAGAAGGGGCATGTTCCATGATAGATTCAACAAAATGTTGTTTCACCAGACGAAAATGGAGATTTGAGCAAAACAATATGACACGTTTATATAAGTTCACAAGAACCCCCTATATATACATACATGTATAATATATATATATATATAATTATATATATATATAGTGGAATTCTCAAAACAAGATTCTTTTTGATAACAAATCCGATGAGACCTCAGTTTGAATATTTCACTGTTTTTGATGGTTAAATTCCATTTGTCTCATCATTTTTGGTGTTCAAATCCCATGAAAATCCCCATCTTTCTGGTGGCGCCAGGCAATCCCGGCTTGGCCATCGGCCTGACAAAGTCTCTCGAACTGGATTCAGATCCCGGCCCGGATCTGCTGAAGATTTTGGTGTTTTCCCCGAAATCCACGCACCCAGAAATCCTTAAGAAATCCAGGGAATCCTGTTTTTTGGATGGGTTTTGGATGGGTTTTTGGCTGTTCGATCTGCTGAAAATGGGGTATTTCACCATCAAAAACCATGGTAAAAACCATGGATTTGCCGCGTCGATGGTGTTGTTTTTTCAGTGGAAAATCCCACGGTTCTCTTGGGGAAGCTACAGGCGGGAACCTATAGGGAATCGTGGTATCATTGTTTTGTGGTTCCTTACAGGATGGTGCCCCCCAGTTATAAGTTGGTTTATAAACCCCATTAACTAGTTCGTTATATCTACCATAAACCATAGTTATGGGAGTTATAAACCAACTTAGCTAACGAACTGGGGCACCACCTTGTAAGCCTATCCGCAAATCCAGATAGGGGTTTTCCAACTTTGTGGACTTGATCGGATCTAGCAGCCTAGCAGCAATGGAACCCAATGGAATGAAACAAGGTGTGCTGGAAAATCCACTTCAGTTTGGGGATGTTCAGGTGTCATGGTTGATTACCGCAGGGTAATGGGAAGCTCAACGCGATCTAATGGGAGATGTTTTTTTTTGGGGGGGGGAGGACTTGATTTAACAATCAACAATGGGAATTTTAATGCATATACCCTCCAGTGTCAAACATGGCTAGCTGGGAAATTCCCAAACTAAGTTCGCATCAAAACATATTGACACTGAAAAATCAATATGAAAAATCATTTTTAGATGGGGAATGTGTTTAATTACCAGAGAGGGAGTACTCAGTTTCAACTGTGTGCACTAGTGACGTTTACTTCCACACACATGTCCAGATACCTATCTAAGCAATTCTAAGCATATGTCTATATGTGTCTGTATATATATATATACGCACACGTACATGTGTAGTTCGACATGCGTGCATAACTTTTTATCTATGCTATACATTCTACGCATGACATTTATTAATCATATGCACAGGCTGAATTATCACAACGCAATGGAATGATGGGTAGTAGGTAACGCACTGAGAAATGTTGGTGATTTAATTATTGTAATTCAGCCAGTGTATACATACATATGTTTTGTATGTACCTTGTATTTGTCTACTTTCTTTCCAACAATCATTTTGCACGACATTTATTCTTGTGTTAGGGTAGCAGGTAGGCGCAAACTAAATTACTTTACTTCGTGTGATCCCCACCATGACATTTATACATTTTCTTACTGGCAAATCTTCTGGCATTCTATCTGACATATCTTCTGACATTCTATTTGGCATTCTATCTGGCATATCTTCTGGCATATGATCTGGCATATCTTCTGGCATTCTATCTGGCAAATCTTCTGGCATTCTATCTGGCATATCTTCTGGCACTCTATCTGACATATCTTCTGGCATTCAATCTGGCATTCTATCTGGCATATCTTCTGGCATATATTCTGACATATCTTCTGGCATTCTATCTGACATATCTTCTGGCATATCTTCTGGCATATCTATCTGGCATATCTATCTGGCAAATCTTCTGGCATTCTATCTGGCATTCTATCTGGCATATCTTCTGGCATATTATCTGGCATTCTATCTGGCATATCTTCTGGCATATATTCTGACATTCTATTTGGCATTCTATCTGGCATTCTATCTGGCATTCTATTTGGCATTCTATCTGGCATTTCTTCTGGCATATCTTCTGACATTCTTTCTGACATTCTTTCTAACTTTCACAGGGCCCACGACCCCCCCCAGCAAAACCCCCCCGGAAGCGCAATAGATGCTTAATAAGGAAGTGTGGTTTTTTCGGCCTAAAAAACAGGTTTTCCTTAATAAGACCTTATTTGGTGTGATGGCAATGGTGGCGTCAAAAAAGGTGTTTGAGACCCTGTTTTGCTAATAAGGCCTTAATAAGAAAAAATGCTTCAAGAGGTTGATCTGTTAATATTAGAAAAAACAGGAGGAAAAAAAAACAAACAATCCAAACCTAAATTTGAAAAAAAAACAAACCAAAACTAAATTAGAAAAAACAAAAAACACAAACAAACAAAAACAAACAAAACAAAGAAAAAGCACGAAAACCAGACAAAACCCAACCCAAACCTAAATTAGACAAAAATGACACAAAAACAAAAAAACATAGCTGAGCTATCAAGCCCTTATTCAGACCTTATCGAAATCTTTTCTAATTGTTACCCAGTGGGATGTTTCAAAACCCCGAAAAAAGAAAAGCAAAACCCAATCCAAACCTAAATTAGAAAAAAGCAAAAGAAAAAAAACAACAAAAATGAACACACATGCAAAAAAAAAGAAAAAAAACAACAAATAAGCACAGAAAAAGCAAAACAAAGGCAAAACATAAGCACCAAAAAAAGATCTTTTAAATCTCATTCCAATACATGAATCCAACCCCTTATCAACCCCTTATCAAGCCCTTATCAAGCCCTTATTCAGACCTTACCGAAATCTTTTCTAACTGTTGTCCAGTGGGATGTTTCAAAACCCCGAAAAAAGAAAAGCAAAACCCAATCCAAACCTAAATTAGAAAAAAACAAAAGAAAAAAAACAACAAAAATGAACACACATGCAAAAAAAGAGAAAAAAAACAACAAATAGGCACAAAAAAAGCAAAACAAAGGCAAAACATAAGCACCAAAAAAATATTTTAAATCTCATTCCAATACATTGATCCAACCCCTTATCAAGCCCTTATTCAGACCTTACCGAAATCTTTTCTAACTGTTGTCCAGTGGGATGTTTCAAAACCCCGAAAAAAGAAAAGCAAAACCCAATCCAAACCTAAATTAGAAAAAAACAAAAGAAAAAAAACAACAAAAATGAACACACATGCAAAAAAAGAGAAAAACAACAAATAAGCACAAAAAAAGCAAAACAAAGGGAAAACATAAGCACCAAAAAAAAAAATCTTTTAAATCTCAATCCAATACATTGATCCAACCCCTTATCAACCCCTTATCAACCCCTTATCAAGCCCTTATCAAGCCCTTATCAAGCCCTTATTAAGACCTTATCGAAATCTTTTTTAACTGTTATCCAGTGGGATGTTTCAAAACCCCGAAAAAAGAAAAGCAAAACCCAATCCAAACCTAAATTAGAAAAAGCAAAAGAAAAAAAACAACAAAAATGAACACACATGCAAAAAAAGAGAAAAAAAACAACAAATAAGCACAGAAAAAGCAAAACAAAGGCAAAACATAAGCACCAAAAAAAATCTTTTAAATCTCATTCCAATACATTGATCCAACCCCTTATCAAGCCCTTATCAAGCCCTTATTCAGACCTTACCGAAATCTTTTCTAACTGTTGTCCAGTGGGATGTTTCAAAACCCCGAAAAAAGAAAAGCAAAACCCAATCCAAACCTAAATTAGAAAAAAGCAAAAGAAAAAAAACAACAAAAATGAACACACATGCAAAAAAAGAGAAAAAAAACAACAAATAAGCACAAAAAAAGCAAAACAAAGGCAAAACATAAGCACCAAAAAAAGATCTTTTAAATCTCATTCCAATACATGAATCCAACCCCTTATCAACCCTTTGTCAAGCCCTTATCAAGCCCTTATTCAGACCTTATCGAAATCTTTTTTAACTGTTGTCCAGTGGGATGTTTCAAAACCCCGAAAAAAGAAAAGCAAAACCCAATCCGAACCTAAATTAGTAAAAACAAAAGGAAAAACCCAACAAAAATGACCACACATGCAAAAAAAGAGAAAAACACAACAAATAAGCACAAAAAAAGCAAAACAAAGGGAAAACATAAGCACCAAAAAAAAAAATCTTTTAAATCTCAATCCAATACATTGATCCAACCCCTTATCAACCCCTTATCAACCCCTTATCAAGCCCTTATCAAGCCCTTATCAAGCCCTTATTAAGACCTTATCGAAATCTTTTTTAACTGTTATCCAGTGGGATGTTTCAAAACCCCGAAAAAAGAAAAGCAAAACCCAATCCAAACCTAAATTAGAAAAAGCAAAAGAAAAAAAACAACAAAAATGAACACACATGCAAAAAAAGAGAAAAAAAACAACAAATAAGCACAAAAAAGCAAAACAAAGGCAAAACATAAGCACCAAAAAAAATCTTTTAAATCTCATTCCAATACATTGATCCAACCCCTTATCAAGCCCTTATCAAGCCCTTATTCAGACCTTACCGAAATCTTTTCTAACTGTTGTCCAGTGGGATGTTTCAAAACCCCGAAAAAAGAAAAGCAAAACCCAATCCAAACCTAAATTAGAAAAAAACAAAAGAAAAAAAACAAAAAAATGAACACACATGCAAAAAAAATAAAAAAGCAAAAAATAAGCACAAAAAAAGCAAACAAAAATCTTAAGATCTGGTTTCAAAATCGATAAAATAGCTGAGCTTGGTGGCTCATTGCAACTCTCTGAACCAGAAACAGCAAACCTTTCGAATTCTGTCCAACTCCAATTTTTTGTGAAACGCACATGAGCAGTGTCAGAAATCAGAGTTCCTTAATAAACTGTTATTAAGGTTGTGTGATTTATTGGTGCTAAAATTGGTTTTGGAATGCATTATTCTTATTAAAGGTTTAATACAGTTTTTTGTCTTGTTGGTTGGACAACACCCCCAAAAACAAGATTTTTCTTAATAAGGCTCTAATAGTGAAATTTCAATTTTATTGGGAAAAGCCATCTCTTATCAAGACCTTATTCAGCCCTTAACCACAAATCGCTAATAAGCATTTATTAAGAATGTGTTACACCACTGATTGGCCCTTATCAACCGTTTCATCCTTATCCATACCTTACCATACTTCTGGGGGGGGTTTTGCTGGGGGGGGTCGTGGGCCCTGTGATACTTTCTTCTGCACATTCTTTGTCCCATATCTTCCAACATGAGGTCCGGCAGGGAACACTGGGCGTGGATGGTCGTGGTTGAGGTCCGGCAGGGAACACTGGGCGTGGATGGTCGTGGTTGAGGTCCGGCAGGGAACACTGGGCGTGGATGGTCGTGGATGGTCGTGGTTGAGGTCCGGCAGAGAACACTGTGGATCGCGGGTCGCAGTTGGACGAGGACGACGAGGACGACGAGGACGACGAGGACGACAAGGACGACAAGGATGACAAGGAGGACGAGGAGGACGAGGAGGAGAGGAGGAGGAGGAGGACGAGGCAGGAGGAGGCAACTGACATAAAATCTAACAACCCTCACCTGGCAGGTGGGGAAAAAACATATTTACATACACAATCATTCCTTTCATTTTCTTTAGTAGAAAAACATGTTTTAGCCCTCAGCGCATTTGTTTTATCTTTGAAAAGCCTTGTGCACAGATATGCGTATGTACACTCATATGTATCTTCATATCTACATTGATCATCACTGTTCTACATAATATATATATATATAACGCTTGTGTGTATTTGTATTTCTGCAGGTTTATTACAATATACATTTTTACATACATACATGGATTTCCTCCTTTCATGTCACTAAAGAAAGAAATACATCGATCCATATACATTCAAACATATGTAAACATATTGATATATAACTATATAACTATAAACATACTTCTATACATACATACATACATACATACATACATACATACATATATATATATATATATATATGCATACCTGCATGTATGTTTACACATGTATTTATACACAAATACAGCTGCACATGACAATTTCCAGATTTAATTTACACATCTTTTAACAGGTACAATTGTTTTTTTATGCGCATTAATCCCGCAGTAGATTGCCATAGCCCAGGCTGGGCGGCAACTTGGAAAACCAGCCGCAGACGGTGCCTTAGCAAAGCAACGCCCGGTGCTGGGTGAAGTGCGGGGTTCCGCTTGGGATGTGGGAACGATACCATTTTTTTCAGGGAAACAAATGGCAAAGTCACATTTTTGGAAGGAAAATATAGGAACATATGCGATTTGTTGTTTGTGAGTTAAGGTATAGATTTATGAGGGACACATTGTGATGTTCAAATGGTGAATGGTGGGTAGTTTCTTTGGTGAAGGCTGGATGGTGGCTGGTCTCATTGGATTTTGTCAATCAGATATGTGGGTTCCATCCGGTGTCATGTTTCCCGTCGTTTCCCGTCATCCATTTGTGAGATGATTACGCCAAAGCTGAACAAAACTGGTTGGTGGTTTGGAACATGTTTATTTTTCAGAGGGGTTGAACCACCAACCAGATCAATGTTTGCCTTTGATTTTCCATGATATAGTGATGCGTTATCCCTGGGGTCATGGGCCCAGGGGCCCCCCATCTTGGGCTGGGATAAAACCTCAAGTTCAAGCTAGGTTGGGTACCCTCTGGTAAACTAACATAACTGTGGAAAATCAGAATTTTTAATGGGTAAATCAACGAACTAAATGGCCATGTTCAATACTAGTAGCTATGTGATTGCCAGAGGATATCTCATATTTTCATATATGTTCCCATTCCCAGGTCTTACCTCATATATTCCCAGAAAGTCACCAGATATTGCCATTGTTTTTTTCACCACAGCACAGTTACCGCGTCACAGGAATTCTACGATGGGAACAACGCCTTGGCGGCAGTGGACAAGGGCGGCCAGGTCGGACGGTGGAGCTCGGATTCCATGGGACAAGTCTCTGTTGGAGATGAACTGTTCACACAATAGTTGGATTTATATTGGATTTATATTGGATTATTATTATGGATTTATATGAGGTTAATGGTGATCTAATGGTGATTTTTCATGGGATTTAATGGAACTGTCTGGTGATATACCCTCTGGTTATTGAACAGTTCGCCATGGTTTGTTGATGGCCCATAGAAATAGATGGTTTACCGAACTTAAAAATGGTGGATCTTTCCATGGCGAACTGTTAGTCATAACCAGATGGTACTATGGATGGGAAAAATGGAGGATTTACCGTCCAAAATGGGGATTTCAATGGAGTTACCCTCTGGTTAAAGGTTTACATAAAACTATGGAAAGATCCACCATTTTATAGCTAGGTAAATCAACTATGTAATAATGGGCTATTTTCCATAGCAAACCGTTAGTTTACCAAAGGGTAATTAAGATACTATGGATGGAAGAAATCCTTCACCACCTTGGATGGTTGAATCCCTATGGATAATGTTGAATAATGGGATAAACATGGATAAACCATCTATCAACTGGTGCAGGATTTCGCAACCATCCACCATATTATCAAATTCCCGGTCAAAAAATGAGATTTCTTCAGAATCTAGATGGAATGGGGATACAACTAACCAACTCTACTATGCTACGGTGGTTTCATGGAACCTATCTAGAGCTACAGGTACAAGAGGCAGCATCGCCATAGAGTCCAGGGATACCCCCAAAATCTGAGCAAGGTACCATCGAACGAGCCATGAGCGCCATCGCTATGGATCTAATAGAGTAATTACAACTTATGGGTTTTGATGGTGATCTATTTTGGGTACCCGGCCTGGTAAACATACAAAAAGCTATTGAAAATGACCCATAGAAATAGTTGATTTGCCCATCAAAGATGGTGATTTCCCATAGTTATATTAGTTTACCAGAGGGTATGTGGTAATCAAACGTTGCTGGATTTTTGTTAGTCATTTCTTGCCATGATTTCCATTACGGTCCAACACCATCGATAGAAAATGTTCAATCGCCGTGTTTGATTTTCTGAGGGCATAGCGGGATACATCTAATCAACAGGTGATCATTTCCGGGTTTCCAGCCTTTTAAGCATTTTTTGGGGGGTTGCTAAAAGTCTTAGCCACCTTAGGTCCTGGCTTCAAAACAACCCCGCAGCTGTCAGAGCCCTGCCAGGCCTTTTGGCAATCGCAAGGTTTAGAGACGGCCACTGGGCGGCTATGTATACGGGAAAACATGGTGCAGACGGCTGGGAAAACATAAAAACACCATAGTGGAGATGAAGTGATCTATAAACTTACTGCACCACACACCCACTATTTGTTCGTACATTACATATATATATATATATATGTATATAAACATGTATACGTATATGTACGCAGATTATATTGTGCCCCAAAAAATCATCCCATGGCGGATTTTTGCGAGGTCCCAATGCCTTGGCTGCCGTTCTTCTCCAACTGCGTTGGGTATCTTCGGCTGCCAGCGGTTGGTGAGACGGAATTGGTTGGTGAATATGAGATGATTAAGGATACCCGACCTGGTAAACATACCAAAACACTATGGAAAGATCCACCATTTTTCACGGGAAAATCCACTATTTCTATGGGTTATTTTCTATAGCTATGTTAGTTAGTTTAGAGAAGGTAATTATGGATATTAAAGTATTAGCTAGCATATATTTGTTGAAATCTCAACATCGCATGCCCCCAACATCCATCAGCATGTGTCCATCCGGTCAGCCCACTAAAAGAATCATGTCGCTCAGGGAACATCCCACACAACATCAAAGGTCCATTTAGTAGATGTTGGAAACTCCGTCATGGTTTCACTCCCACATATGGCCCCAGTGTTGTTGATCAAAATCCTGAGAAATTCTTGGTCAACGGAATTTTGAAATGTTGACAAAATTTGATGGTACTGTACCCAGAGATGACAAGTTGCTAGCTTGATTGGCTTGTCCTCTCCGGAAGCCCATAGTCAAAACCCAGGCTTGACAGCCATCCCCCGAAGGGGAGCAATCCATTCTATCCTCAGAAGTCACGCCCTTCTTAAGGATCCATACTTAAAGGACCAAAGGACTGTACATTTGCATCATCCCACTTCAAGCTGATGACAAACTGTTGAATGTTTCTTTCTGATCGTGTTTTTTGGTGTTGTCCCCTTATGATTGCAGGGAATCTTATCTATTGGCTCCCACTCTTCTGAACATTAGCTGCATCAGCATCGATGTGACATTTTGCGCAGGGGCTTTCATAAGATATGGGGCGTGTATGTATATACACAAATTGTGACGCATTGTAATAGATCGTATACTTGTTGATGTGCATATGCATTTAATTATGTATATTCGGTATTTTGTAAGTCTTAGAATAGCTTTATTTTCTGGCATGCATAGTTTGCACCATTGCCACCATTCTGGTTAACCGATGGTATCTAATCTACAGGAAGGGGCCCTCGAACAGCAAGTTGGTCTATTTTACTAGGTTAATACTTGGGTTTATGGTGGGCGTCTCTGCAATCAAATGGGGTTATGAACCAATTGAGAAATGCGTGGCACACTCCTATCAGATGACCTTCGGTTTCAGTGAAACATCGCCCCACTCCAAGAATTATCTGAATGATTTTGAATGCAAAGATGGCATATTTTGGATTGTTAATCTCATGGTTTCCTGCAAGTTGTTCTGCCAGTAAACTCACAGAGATTCTGAACATCCACCATAATTTTCGTGGATTTCCAAGGGAAACAACCATTGATTCCCATATGTTAGATTTAGATGGTACCCCACAAACCCATTCATTGATCAGTTTGATCAGTTCCATTCGGTAATTCGTACATTCGTCATGGTTTCCGGCTCACTTGTCCCCATGATTTTCTCAACAAGAAACATATTACTGATTGGGTCTTCTGGTGAGAAATAGGGGAGAGAAATTAACCAGAACCAAACGTGTACTTAAAAAAAAAAAAACTCCCTAAACAAATGTGTTTTTGCTTTTTTTTTGTCCGTAAGGAAACCCACTGAGAAGTCATTTCAAAGGAATTCATCATTCATCTAATAGCTTTACTAGTTGAACAAGCTGTCGTTTTCGCAAAATAGTTATTCTTTACGGTATACATATTTATATATATACCATCAAACCACCATTCAATTCATATCCCATAATATCCATTATATAATCTGGTTGAATTCTAACGACCTCACTGCCACCTCACTGGAATGATGGTTAGTAGGGGTGACTCTCCCGAAATCGCTTTATTTCAGGTGATTTTTTTTAATTCACCCAGATCGATCTTCCTGAATCATACAGTCAAAGCCCTTTGCCAATTATAAATCGTTATAGATGGGGTTATACGTTCCGCAAACGGGCTTATTTCACTGACTCAAAACGGGTATTCGGGCCATAACTGTCGCTCATATCTATATATCTATCTATCTATTTATCTATCTATCTATCTGTCTATCTATCTATCTATCTATCTATACATACATACATACATACATATGTACATATATATACAAATAATATGCATCACAATAATTATGTGTATATATATTTATTTATGTACACATATTCACATATATATATATATACATACATATATGTGTATATACATACATATATGTTTCATTATAGCACTGAATAACCATTCATATGTCCTATCTCGTTGCCTCAGCTTCGATTCGTACATCATCCTCTGGGATCTCTTCGAATCTCCCGGCGAGCTCCGGGAGGGCTGCAGCTTGGGCGGTAAAAAAACGGGCAACACGGGGAACGGGCCGCAGAAGTACCGGGATGACTAGGGGTTATGGTTTTTTAAGGGTATCTAAGCGGTATACAAATGGTATATCAATGGTATATTAATGGGTTTTAACGGTTATTAATGGTTATTAATTGTTAACGGTTAATGGTATAATATATAATGGTATATTCATGATTTATGGTTTGTATTGGTCGGTGTATTATAAAGTTGCATAGTAATGGTATACTTAATTGTTTTGAATGATGATAAATAGTTATACATGGTTAGCATTGGTTATTGAATGAATTCCTATTAATGGCTGCTATTGGTTGATGTGGTAAACCCAATGCGATAAACCATGCCCTTTAGAGGTTTATGACATGGAGTATACCCCTGTGACTGGGATGATGTTCAGGGAAGCCCAAATGCTTGGTCAACGGGATGGTTTATTTTCTGGGTCTACCACATTTCTAAGTTACCCTCTGGTAAATTAACAGTTTTCTATGGAAAATCACCATCTTCATTGGGTAAATCCACTATTTCTATGGCCGTTTTCAATAGCTATGTTAAATTACCAGAGGGTAACTTAAGCCTATAGATTGTGCCAAGACATACGGAAGATATACGCTGACGGCCTTTTGCCATGGTGAGAAAACTGGTACCCGCTGATAATTCGTCACAGGGCTATTGAACATGACCATTTGCAACACGTAAGGTAAATTTAATTTCGTAGCTATGTTAATTTCCCAGAGGGTAGTTCCAAGTTTGGGCCCCCAAGATAGGTCACTTGGTGGAACTGACAAGGACAACTAAAGGTTTTTGGTTAGTTGTAACGAATTAGTTCGATGGGTGAAATTACACCAACAAACATAGCGGGGGGAGGCCACATCGTGAATAACCACCGGTCCGCAGGATGAAAAGAACAAGTCTAAGCATTCTAAAGATAATCTGAATGATCCGGAGGCATTGAGACTCACAGAAGGAGACCTTCAGACACCTGTCAGTGGTGAAAGGCAGCAGGCAGTTTTTTCTCGACATGGTCTACGGGCGTAAGCTGCCACAATGCCATGAGCCGGTTGGGGATGACTAAGAATTTGGGCTGTTGCCCATGCTGATGTCGGACACCCATTCAGTTACGTGTCAATCTGTCTGGCTCACATTTATTGAGTTGGGTATGGTTTGTGACAATCCCCACTGGCCCCAATGCATTATCTGGGTCATTTTCCCCTTTTCAGGATTTGTTGAAGGGATAGGCCACCGGTTACTATCCATTTATCCATTGGCCATCACTACTAAACAGTGTGATGGTTTTGGGCTTGCTGCCTTGCTACAAAGTGATGCCGCGTGCCCATCACAAGCGAAGTTGGTCTGCAACCAGGCAAACTAGGGTCCCTGCTGGTCCATGGTGAGGAAATCTTTGTTGCCAAAGTATACACATAAGGCAACTGAACTGGTACATCAGCCTGTCCGACTGTCAAATAAGCATACAGTCAAATTTGGTTACAACCACAAGACTGTCCGTCCAAAGCACACGTCAAGCTGCGACCTATGTGTTCCTTTATCGCATAACTCATGTGGTACAACCAATCATAAATTATCCCACACATATATAAACGTTTCTCGTTGGGAACAAAAACCTGTTGGGATGGTAAAGCATGACCCCAAATGGTTGGTGAATTGCAATGGCCTATTGCTCGGCTGGATGATGGCGTTCCACTGGTGTTCACCATGACAAATCTCGTAAAGACATCGATGAAGTTAGCCACTTGCACATGGCCCATGGAAGCACGTGTTGCTGAGTCGAAAAACATATTATATGCATATTGTTTCAAACTTTCAAACTATCACAAACAAAAAACAGTCCTACAATGATTGTTCACCAAGTTTCTATGACCATGGTGATTAAACATCATAATTATCATCAGAAACGTAACCGCCATGATACATCATAATCTACCGTATTTGATTGATAATTCCATAGAATCATGGTGACTATCAACTGATAATCACTTATCAATAATCCATGGGTCATTATCAATTACCATAATCCCATGCATGCGCCATGTAACGGATAATTATCACCCATGACCATTACCATCATTATCAACCATCCTCAATCACCATCATTATCAATCACTATCAACCATCATCAGGATAATAATAATAATAATCATCATCATCATCATCATCATCATCAAATAAACGGGAGTATACATTCTATAAGTGAGGTTTTGTTTGTACTTGTAAGAAGATCTTACACCCTCTGGTAAGTTAACATAGACCCTGAGAATCGCCCATTTTTGATGGAAACTAATCTTCCAACCCCTATCTGCTAGGGTCTATGTTAATTTACTGGAGGGAAACGGGTTTTTTGGGCTATAAATTCCTCCCGCTGATCCCAATTCCTGAGGTGAGATGGTTCCGCGTGAGGAGGTGAAGATCGTGCCACCGCTGATCGTGGACTTCGTCCCTAAACGTCACCGAGACGGTTTCGATGTCATCGCTAAAGGGTAACGTTGGGAGCTTTGAATCCATGGATTCCATGGATCATTTCCGATTTCAGGATGTTTTGAATTCAAAAAATGTGTGCAAACACAGTTGAGTTGAACGTTGCGAACTTTCAACTGACAGACCGTGTGATTCTCAAAGGATTCAAATGGGATGAACAGGCCATGTGATTACATTTGGTTTTTGTTGGGTTTATCAAGTTTTTTTTAAGATGTTATTTATATATATTTATATAGTTGACCATAAATAGCCAATATGAATGAATGCGTATGAATATATAATATTGTGCTTGTTTACTTATTGGCGACTACTGTAATCATGTAATCTATGGTTTATAGTTTATAAACTACTTATTGTTGACGATAGCATCATCAGTCAACCAGTATGTAAATGAGTTGGTTGAACCAGTAGTCATTTTTATTGTGTGGTTGCATTATCTATATACATGTTTGCATGTGTATATGATAATTATATATACATACATATGTGAGTGTGTGTGTACATATATATATATATATTTATATATCATATATATCATATATATATATATATACATATGTGTGTGTGCATATGTATATACTATATACATATTATATCTATATATATATATAGATAGATATACAGACTTAGGCTGGCCATTGTGTTCCCAATGGTGAACCATGGTGAACCCCTGGGGTGACCGCCGAGGATACCTTAGAGCCACGCTTTGGCAGCTTTGGTTTTCGCACGGCAGGAAGCAGTGAAAACCTGGTATTTTCAGAGAACTTTCATGTATAATGTGTATATTATATTAATATATAATATATAATATATAATAGCCAGGTAAATGAATTTGGGATATGGATCCATAGCACTGTGATTCCTTGTGGATCTGACCACGTACCACCCGGCCTCGAAGAGAAAGTCGGACGTCCAGCCAGCAATGGAAAATCACCATTTTGAATAGGTAAGCCAACTATAAATGGGCAATTTTCTATGTCGCTATGTAACAAATTACCAGACGCTAAACGTTCCCTTGAACCGCTTGACTTGGAAGCTGTACCTGGGTTGCTGAGTCGATGATTTTTACGATTTTCCCAATGGGAAATCCACCAGAGATGGGGGAACTGATTCAGGGCATCAGTTTATATAGTTGTTTTGGGTAGTGTCCCCGAGGAAGTGTCCAAAAGCCATAGGTTTTTCAGAGAATTTAACCATGATTTTTTTCATCAATCAAGGGGTTTAACCATGGGACATATGGGATGTAATATTAGAATTGATAACGGATGGTTGATTGATGACTATATGGGGTTATACTGTACTATCCAATATATCGGAGATTGTCACGGTCCAGCATGGGAAATCCTGTTGACCGTCGACCAAGTGGGTTTTGAACACTGTTCAGTTATGTTTGTTAGTTTAAATTGCCCCATCTAACTGTAAAAAATCTAGCCAACCTACTTGTAAACCAACTTCGCTAAGTGAGGGGGGGGCCCTTCTTGTAGGGTAAATTCCAATATTATTGAGGTAAATAACCAATACTTCACCCCAAGATGTTGGTCCTTGTACCGTCTACGTGTTTGATGTTCATGTGCAAAAAAGGCATCAAACAAGGACCAGGAATCGGAATGTTTCCTACAACTGGCCCATACAATTTCAATGTTTTTGGGAACACATACATTGTTGTTGATGGTGAAATGCTATATTGCCCCATGTCTTGTTGGTTCTATCTTCAGGGGCCACTGTTCAACAAGGTTTGTTGTTTAGACACGTGCGCTCTTGCTCTTGGCTACGTGACCCTGGAAAACAATTTTCATGTGGTACTTGGGTTGGTTTCTGTGGGCCAATTAGCAACTGAGTAACTGACAGAGTGATTGTTCGAATCATAGTAGTAAGGTATATGTCAGGTATTGTCATTCGATGGTCGGCTAGCAACATGGAGCAACCGTTTTTCTTTGTCAACCTTGGATGGGTAGTTTAGTACCTGAATCTGTTGCAGTACTTGGGGATTTGACTGGAATTGATGGGCATGATCCCGGACACAAAAAAACGTACAGTTAACATTTTGGTAATGGCTCATATGTATCGGTACAATGTGCATATTCAAATAAATGAACTCCAGCGCATGAACATATGCCCATTCAAATTGGGTGACGTTTGGCTTACTAGGTGTGTATCCCAGTAAGTGCCAATAACCATACTGCCATGCTATGCCCCAGATATGTATGTGAAATTTTGAGATATATTGATTGAGAGAAATACCCTGTCATTTGTCACCTTTTGTTTTGAATAAGAAAGGAAAAACACATACTGCATGACCTGCAGATCTAAGTTTCTTGGGTCTTATTTTCAGCACGCCCTGTTTGCCACGGCTCTGTCCCGAACGATTCATGCGACTAAGATCCGGTGGCCGACAGCTGTCAGTTGATCACCAAGTGCCACTTCGAGGAGCCAAATGAGCCAATCGCTCCTGGTGGCCAGGTGACCAGGTCGTGGCTAAGAATGGGGCCTGGTGAATGTTGGTTACCCTCTGGTAATTTAACATAGCTATTGAAAATGGCCATTTATAGTGGATTTTCCCATAACAAATAGTGATTTTCCATAGCTATGTTAAATTACCAGAGGGTACCCAAACTGTAATTTGCTATAGTGTGCGAACTGGAAAATCAGAAAATCTCCAGGTGGATATAGGGGTAAACTGATGTAAATTGTCGATCTTGTCGATCAACGGGCAATTTTTCATAGCGAAGTGCTGAATTATGGGAGGGTAACTGGAGGTTGACTTTGGGCAAGAACTTTGAATCAGAGGTCCGCATCAGTTCAGTGGTCTGCAGCTGGTGGAAAAATCACCTGAACAAAGTGGGTCATAAAACAATCTGATGGTCTAGCTACCACGTTAGCTAATCAGCAGAATAATTTTCTTTAGAGCTAGGCGGGGTAGCTTGTAGATCCTTACTCACGCATTGCAGTGAAGAGCTGCAAAAAATGAATGTGTCTGAAAATGGGGTATACACCCAAATAGATCAAATAGCGCTTATTCATGGAGAATATGACTATCAACCATTGGAAAACTGGGGGTCCCCTACTTTCAGACAAACCCACATCACCTTTTAAGCGTTGGTTAAACTATGTCAAACACTTTTTTTTGGTGGTTAGCAATGGGTAAAATTCTACACCTGGGGCCCACGTGGAAATTCCGTGGCCAGGAATATATTGTACCAGGCCTGTTTGCTGCGTGGTTGTTCCATGGATCTGGGTAAATTCTAACGACTTATTGCGGCCAAAGCCTGGAATGATGGTTAATAGGTACCTATCCCAAAATAGCCATATATAGTGAGTGCATTGTTATGATTTACCCAGATGGATTTGAAGATGGTTTAGTGCATCAATACTTGGCATTTTACCATCAAGAAGTTGGATTTAGCCAGCGCACATGTGGACTTGAGTCCTATAATTTAACATGGCTGGGCAATCGCCACACTAAAATGTAAATAGTCGATCTTTGGTTCGATTCAGGTTTGATTCTCAGAGGGTATAGCATGTCATACAACATATCACATAAGTATTTTAGAATGTTATAACTAAAACTATTTATACATGTGTATGTTGATATAAGACATATTGTTGATATACTCTTCAGGAACCACTATCTTAAGAACAAATGGAGTATAGTCAAGCCTCCCCAGTTTCCTGCTAAATGCTTTGTAATTGGATGATATGGCCTAAATGTTCCGAATTCAAACTGGGATTGTGCCCTTATTTTCAAAACCATTGGTTTCTGAATGTTTCTGATGCCAATGCTGATTGTAGTGATCCATAAGTAGTTTCTGAATGTTTCTGATGCCAATGCTGATTGTAGTGATCACTATAACCCATAGGATCCATGGTTTTCTGTATATATGCTAACATGAATGGGGTATATTGATGGATCCATGTTACCATTAATATAGCAGCACCGTTAGGATCCTATGGATAATGGAAACTCTTATTCAAATGGATAATTTACGGTGAAAAACATCATTTTAAGAAGCCTCCATATTCTATAGAATGGATATTTCCCAATCACTAAGCCATGACATCCATGGAGCTTGGAGACTTGGAGCTTCCAATGGCGCTGACAACGTTGGACTGTTGGACTGTGCGGCTGGGATCATTTGGCTGCCAGAATCCCAGACATATCCGTTGATTTCCCATTCCCACGATTGATGACCAGAGGATACATCCAATTAAATAGACCATTAAGTGTCCCAGGATTATCCATTATTATCCATTATTATCCATTATTATCAATTATTATCCATTATTATATATCAATGTTTATCCATTGTCAACCGTTACTATCCATTGTTATCCATTCTTATCCAGTATGATCAATGATTAACGACCATTAACCATCGTTAACCCCCCGATCTGGCTGTTTTTGGATGTGCCTCGAGCCTCTGCCTTCAGACTCCTACGGCTCAACTCTCTGGTGGGAGCTGCCCGAAGACCCTTGGGATGAACTGATTTCAGTTGTTGCAGCTTTCGGATGGTTTCAAGTTGCAGTTGGAGTTGAACATACAACAATAATCACACATATGCGTGATATATATATATATATATAGAGAGAGAGAGATAGATTAGATAGATGGATGGATGGTTGGATGGATGGATGGATCGATAGACAGATATTTAGATAGATACACACCTGGAAATTGTGAAGAAAACATCATCGAACTACCATCCTGGAGCTACTGACATCGGCATTTTTTTAATAGAGCCGTACACAACATGATGTTTCGTGTCACTTGCCTTAGTTCGGAATCGCTAAGTTGGTTTATTTGCCTATGTTAGGTATAGATAACCACGCGGTGGTGCCCCCGAGTTGCGTTCTAAAGCCAGCTAAGTAATGTTAAGTATAGATATATCTACCATCAAGCCGGCAGTTGAACTTACAAACCAAAGGAGGTAACTCTGGGGAAGCACCAACCGTATATGTACAGTTATGGCCCTTGACAGTTTTAAACCGGATTACAATACCTTTAACTAAGGTGGTGTGTATATATATATATATATCATTATAATCCCATCGATAAATGTTAAGATATGATAGATCATTATTTATCACTTTATTTAATCCCTTTTACAGTCCCATTTACAGTCATTATAGTCCCATTTTAACTGTTAAGAGATGCTAAGAGCCATTTCTAACTGTTATTTCATCACTATAACCCATAGGATCCATGGTGCTGGTATATATGCTAACATGAATGGGGTATATTGATGGGATCCATGTAACCATCAATATAGCAGCACCGTTAGGATCATGGGATATAGTCATCAACCAACCATCCGTTATCAATTCTAATATGACATCCCATATGTGCGATGGTTAAACCCCATATGTCCCATATGTCCCATTCAAACATCACTATAAAGTTATTTCATCACTATAAGCCAGTTATTTCATAACCGACTTTATAGTGACATAACTATATAGTTGATATTAATATACTATTATAACTGATTATAGGTTATATCATGTTATATCACAGTTGGCTAAGTTATATCATCATAACCTATGATTGCTATGGCTGTTTTTTTGAGGTTATATCACCTGCTGAGTTTTTTGGCCTTGCAATCACCGGTAGTTCACCGTCCCCGAGGAGACGGTCCTCTTTTACATCACAACGCAGCCCATCAGCTACGAGGAGAGTGAACCGTGGATCACAATGGATGTTTTTTAAACACCACTTGAAAGCCAACAAAAAACAAAGGGGTTCATTGATTTCATGTGATTTGATCTGATTTTATTTGAATTGGTATGTTTTCGATTTCATGTGATTTGACAAGTCAATCATATGATATTCAGTCACTTCAGCTGGTTCTATCCAGTGGTGAATGGAGGGAGCTGCGAACGGAGGTCATTTGCGGTGGTTTAATTAGACTGCATAGCTTTCCATCATACGGCACATGCTGAAACATGTATTTGACTGGTGGATTCAAATGTTATTGCTCGTTCATCATCCGTACGTCATGCTTGACACTCAATGAGTGTGCTTTATGTTCATATGGTTTGAAAAAACACCAAGGTCAGCTGGGTTTTGGGCCAGGCGATTTGCAACTTGCGATTGAACATACTCGTAGCTTGAAAGTCGCCAAGAAAAATATGGCAACCATTTTGGAAAAAAAAAACATCAGCTCCCATGGTTCATCAGCAAGTCTCCCATCAAAATGACAAGAACATATTGCTAAATATGGATAAATATGGTACCCTCTGGTTATTTAACATAGCCATGGTACAGATGGCCCATAGAAATAAATGGTTTATCGAACTTAAAAATGGTGGATCTTTCCATGGCAAACTGTTAGTCAGAACCAGATGGTAATAATTAATTACTGCTCTTATTCGAATGGTCAGTTGTATAGAAGATTTAGAAGATTTAGATAGTTTTCCATAGTGAACTGTTAGTTTACCAGAGGGTAAATATGGTAAAACAAGAATGTTCAGCCCCGTGGTTTGAAGTCTCCATTCCGGCGGCCTCCGGGCCTATCTGGGCCTCCGGTCGGCCAGGACTTCAAAATCGGAGACCCCTTCTTCGCGCCCATGGTGGGTACCGAGCTTTTGACTGGAGCACCTGGACTCGACATGGTCAGGATAAGTGAATTCAGCCAATGTGTGTATACAGTGTATCAAAGTGTATATAACAATTATAACATATTTAATCTAATATAAGACATGGAAATAATTAAATATAGAGAAATATTTATTCATTCGTTTCTATCTAGATTTATTTATTTTGAATTTACATGTCCATTGGAAATTCCAATGTGAGTGGAAGGTACGCCTGGATTTGTTGAGGTAAGACTCACTACACTTCCAAAGATTGTTTTTCCCCATAGGGAACTGGAGAATATTTTCTATGACTGATTATGAAAGGCCCAACATGGCCCTACCAATCACCACAGGATGTTGTTTTTTTAATAGTGGGTACACGTGTACCAATGATAATAGCACATGTAACATGTTTGGAAAACAAGCATACAACCAGTAAGCAGACTGTCCAAACGGCTAGGATTTTCCAGCGACAATTCAGCCAAAAAAAAACGAAGCTTCAAGCCAATCGATTTTTTCAGCGAGTGGACATGAGCAATCACCAGCCCTTCGGTATATGGGTATGGATCAATACCTATTAATACCATTTTTAGTGGGATGAACATCCATTTACCAGCTATTTTGTTCACCAGGGGTACAAGGTTTTGACCCATCCCCATATATATATATAATTATATATATAAATATATAATCAAATATAGCTGGCTGGGAAAGTCCCGACCTAAATGGAGCTGGGTGGAATGTCCAGCCATTTTCCCAGAATCACAGTGATAAGTTGATTTATTTCAACCCCATATCTTTGTAGCTTCTGTATCTTCCCGGCCCTATATCAAGAACCAACTTGGCTCCCAGCTTCCACCCGTCGCAAGGTCAACTTGATGATGGATGACAGGCACGGTTCGACCATAGGAAAATCATGGAAAATAGCCCGATTGCGCTAAGGCTATATGGGAAATTTCGACTATGTAACCCGAGGTATACAGAAAGATCTGGGAAACTCATAGTGTCCCTATGTTTCCTGGGAGAAAGATCTATATAGGTTTCTTAGATTTGCGTGTCAAACACGCCAGGAGCGATCCAGACGGAGGACAGAGATCGTGAGGGACGGGTGAAGTATTTCACGAAGTAGTTGTTGGGTTTATAAACAAACACTGGTTGGTGGTTTGGGACATTTTTTATTTTCCATACTATATATGATAATCCTTCCCATTGACTTTCATATTTTTCAAGATAGCTGAAACCACCAACCAGAACATCACTGGGGGGTCTGACCCTGTGGGGTGTCTAACGGGCTGCAGTGTGACTCAGTCATAGTCGGTCGGTTTTGTTCATCTATTTCTATGAGCCATAGCATAGTTTCCATAGCTATGTTAAAATATTAAACTATGTTAGATAACCATGTTTCATATGCATGGGGCTGCAATTTCATGGTCCATGTTCGGGACGGGGAATTCTAAGTCGCCCGGGATGACGTCAGATGAGTTGCTGCGCCGGCTGCGCGTGATTCTGACATAGATCCCGGATACATCCCAGATACCCTCTGGATCCCTCTGGTAATTTAACAGTTTGCTATTGAAAATGGCCATTTATAGTTGATTTACCCACTAAAACTGATGATTTCCATAGTTATGTAAACGTTTACCAGAGGGTACATCCCGGATATGATACATCCCTATTGTTTTGGAACGCGGCACAAAAATGTGAAACACAGTCCGGCAGTTGAAACATTGCAGCAACACCATTTAAGTCACTCTGAGAACACAGCGTTCAGATCGCTAGTAAAAAATCACATGTAACATGTGCGGTGTAAATTTGTATATATGTAAAATAATGATGGAATATGTTATAATATGTTATGTGTCACTTTCCAATTGAACATGGTCATTTTCCCATTGGAGCAGGCCGACACCTGACGCTGAAAAAAAAAATATCCCACCATTGAGTTGCAGGTAGTTCCACGGGGTCGAACGCCAACATCTCTGGACAGAGTCCTGCCATCCATAGTTTCCTCCTTTGTTTTCATTTATTGATTTCCCATTGCATCATATTGCATCATGATTTTGGCTGGTTAGACTGGTTAGAGGTTAAAGTTTACGGTTCAAGCCCTCCTTTGGCTGGTGATTTCCGGGTTGGTTTCCAGGACCCAACGCCCCCAACCTACGCATTCCTCGGCGCGTCATCTTCCAGATGGCCTACTTCCAGGAAAGCCAAGGCAGCGCCGTGGGATAGGCAGGAGTGTTTCCACCCAAAATGGTGATCTGCGTGGTGGTTTGGAACCATGGAATTTTATGACTTTCCATTCAGTTGGGAATGTCATCATCCCAACTGACGAAGTCATATTTTTCAGAGGGGTAGGTCAACCATCAACCAGTGATTTTTTTCGGAGGGAAAGATGCTGGTGCTAGCGCACATGGATATTTTTCACCGGGGGGAATGGTGAGTTTACTTGGAAAATTGTGGATTGAAGTGAGGCAATCCTGGATGTATGATGGGGATATCATGTGGATATAACATGATATAACTAGCCAACAACATCCGTTTGACTTGGGTTTTACCATGTTTTACCCTTAGGCTATCAAACTATGGAGAAAACAATGGCCAGTAAACAATTGGTGGCACGGTGGCATTTTTGTTTCAGACAAACCCATATAGCCATATAGTAGCTGTGTATATTTATAACCCATACAATTGGGAGATTGACCAATCAAAACTGGATGCAATGGGATGTACCAAAAAGAATTGTATCTGGATTCGATTGGAGAAAGAAAACGCAAAAGCCAAATTTACCAACTTTCTTGGGATATATAGTGATATGTAAAACTACCAATGATGAAGGGTATGCCTTCCATCAAGTCTCTGGAAGTATCACCATCAAGAACAGTAAACGAACCAACTGCTGAAGAGTTCAGCGTGGACACCCTTCCGCAGATAAGAAGAAGTTGGTGTCCGCAGACATGCAGTTGCAATCCTTCGATAATGACGACACCAACAGATTCTTGGCGTGATTCATGGTCGAGAGGTCCATGATTTGGAGGCGTTTAGTGATTTTTCAGGAAGGCCCCTGAAAACGAGAGGTAAAATGTGTTATAAGTTACAATATGTTATAACCCATAGGATCCATGTATGCTATATATGGTAACATTTACCATCAATATACCCCAAATGTTAGCATATATACCATACATGGATCCTATGGGTAATGAATTCAAAATGTTGGACTTGCGGTGCATACTGACTCAGGTAATCAATGGCAATTGGTTACATGATTTTGGCGATTGGATGACCTGAAGTTTCTGTGGCTAAAACGTCATATCATGTTTACCACCCATGACTTCCTGGGAATGGTTTCTACATACCACCTTTCAAAAAAATGTGATTTTCCTGGTGGCTGGTGCTGTTTTGGCATTGCTTTACCCACATTATAGAAGTATCACTGTCAACAAGTTTATCAACAGGTGGACTGTTTGGAGTGTTCCAAATTCTTGCTCAGGCATGTGGTTTGCAAACACATGGAAACACATAAATATCATACCCTCTGGTAAATTAACATGGACCCTGGCAGATAGGGGTTGGAAGACTAGTTTCCATTAAAAATTGGTGATTTTCAGGGTCTATGCTTATTTTCCAGAGGGTAAATGCACAGACACTTTGGGGTGGCACTTGGGGCACTGGCATTCACATCGGTGCATGACACGCCATCCTCAAAGCTGGAACACTGGAAAGTGTTTTGCAGGTCCACCTCTGACAACTGACAATGTGTTGAGACATGGTTTAGGCAAACATGGCTACATCGAACTGCCACAGTGTTGGAAAGTGCTTGGTAGATGTTGGTAGAATCATTTGGCAGAGCCTGTCTTTGAAGGAGGCTTTGGGTTTTCGGGCACGAGGGAAGCATCGGTTTTAGGGCACCAAAATAGGAGCCTCCTATTGAAACAACCCAGGAATGGATCCATTGAATCCATCTTGGGCGCCCAAAATCCCAACATGATGAGATTCGTCTAAGGCAAATGGTGCAGGAAACCATGGCAATTGACCACTTCAGAAATGTTTTTTTTTTTTTCGGACACTTGCCGTTAGGAGGAGGACCAAAAAACCTGGTATGTACTGAACTGTGCATATATCGTCATACTTGCACGTGCGGAGTTTTACATGTTTGGCCATTCAAAGGGTATGTACTTTGTGATCTTTACATAATGTTACAAGCTTTCCGTGAGTTTAGTATCCCCTTCAACTTTCCCAAAAATAAAGTCAATGTTCTACCCAAGATGCTCATCAGATGCGCGTTTTTATTGCACAAGTGTTTGTTGAAACTTTCAGGGTCGCTGAATCAGAATCCCAAGATCATCGATATCTTCAGTTATGATAGCTATATGGCACTGAAGCCAGTTTTCAATGGAAATAGCTCCTATAATTGGTTGGCTATAACATATATATATATATCATTATAATACCCAGATGCTCCATGTATGGTATATTTACCTACATTTGCCCCAAAAATTGTCCAAATGTAGGTAAATATACCAGCACCATGGAGCATATGGGATGATTTGGGTATCTCATAATCCCAACTGTTAAACTATAATTAGTTTGTTATAATACATATATGTATATATCATTATAATCATTTGGGTATATCATAGTCGCAACTGTTAAACTGTTATGGCGGCCAGTGATCAGATCACCAAGCTTTTAACAGTGCTTCCCTCGGCTTTCTGCTCAGCTGTCTACTACCTCATGTTGGCCTTTGAAGCCCTGGGTTGGCAAGATCTCATGAACGAGTTCCAGCTGTGCCTGGGTGGCATTGTCTGGGTGGCACCGGATTCCCACGGAATCGGACGATCTGAAGATGTACAGTTATGGCCGTTTATGGCCGTTTATGAGTCATAACTGGTTATTTCTATGAGGTTATATATACACTCCACAAATGTGGTTTTTTTTGTACTTATAACTGGCATTTTTGTGCCATAACTGTATGTTGTTCCAAAAAGGGATCTGAAAAGGCTCAAGTCAAGACTATTTTGGATCGGATTGGATTTTACGAATATCGAATCGTTTCCATCTTTTGGGGCTATATCTTTGTTGGCAGTAAGTGAGTACCTCCATGATTAAAATCCATGCCCATGTGGTTCCTGCAGTTATGGCCCCTGACTGGTATAAATTGATTTAATAAATATATCATGAAATAAGCCTATTTATAACTGTTAAGGGCCATAAACTGTGGGGTGCGCACAGAGTTTGATCGGTCAAGGTGGAGACAGGGTATGTGCGAATCACTTGCTGGCAGTAGATTGCCACGCAAGATTTGGGCCACACAAGTCTGGTACCAAGCCGTTGTTTGACTCCCATGTCGGAATGGAGAGATGATTAGCTCGCCTATATGGCCTATATGGCGAAAAGACAGAAAGGTGATATCCCACAGTGCCCACAGAGCCAATTATGATAGAATTATAGCCTTAGCTACAGGAGTTATAGTTCCATGTAGACCCGTTAAGGCGTTAAGGGGCACAACTGAAGGCATGTAAAGAGGAATGCGCTGTCATGACCATGCATTTTAAGTTTCGCGATTGCTATAAACGACATGCACAATAGGTTGCCTCAAAATCAACTAATTATGGATTTGCCTCCATTTCCAGTCATTTCCAGGGTCGTGCCAGCACCAACCAGCACCATGTGTGCTTTTTCTCGTCTCGGATTAAGACACCACTTCTTTGTTTTATTGGACTGGTCTCCGGGAAAAGTCTACAGGAAACCTCTGAATATACATGTGCTAGTAAAAGCATATAAAACTGGTTGGTGGTTTGGAACATGAATTTTATTTTTCCATCTGTTGGGAATTTCATGATCCCAACTGACTTTCATAATTTTCAGAGGGGTTGAAAACACCAACCAGAAAAACATGTAAAAATCATGGTTTCCGACTTCCGATGAAGCGATGAAGATTTCCCTTGCACCAACCCATTGGTTGAATGCCTAAGATCTCAACGAGAATCGTGTTGGTCAAGCTGTGTGGCCCTATCAATTGATGAGCATGGTGTTTACCCTGTAGTCATCTAACACTTTAATAATGTTTAGTAATTTTAATAAAGTCACATTTTCGAATTAAATGGGTCATGTTCCACAGCGAACCGTTAGTAACGTACCAGAGGGCATTCAGTCCTCATGCTGTTTAGCATCATATTGATGAACTTCACCTTTGTATTATAGTTAACCCATATTACAGTAAGCCTCTCCTTAAGAAAAAAAACTATATATATATATAGTATATATGTAATCCAGATCAACATCGAAACTTTTCTTTGTTGGTTCATACTCCTCATTATCCTGTTGCAGCGTGTTGGTTTACATGTCCCACTTTGATCCATGTTGGAGATTTCAATCATAATTTCAATCTTTTTTTATTTTCAGCACCTTCCTATCCCTACCAATCTTGTTTACAACGCATGCTCTTCCCGGGTGTTTTACACATGGGACGTCACCCCGTCGCGAAGCGAGGCCATATCATGTCGCTGGCTCAAAGGGTGGTGGGATCTAACAAACCGAAACCGGCACGGGTGGACCAAGCAGTTATGGCCGTGAAACCAGTTACATAATGTTACATAAATGGGATTATTTTATGATAGAAATATAACACAGTTATAGGAGGAGTTGTTTCATCTCATTTCGATTTGGCTTCGAACAGGGCCATAACTATAGGTATATCTGATAGTTCGATGTGGGGAAATACATCATCAAGCTTCAACCGATACAATCATCTTGAAACCTGATGTCCGGAAAGTATGACATATGATAAAATACTAGTAGGGCCTCTCGCACTTGCCTCGTGTCAAAAATAGATAATTTAGTTTATAAACGAGCTATATAGCTATAGAATATCTGGGTGGTATGAGATATACGGTTGGATGGGTTTACAACGCAATTCGAAAGTGGTGAGCTCCTTCTTGTGGTACCATGTGGTACCCTTCGGAAATGAAACATGGCAATGGAAAATCCTACGGGTCCTAGCGGTTCATCCTCCAAGCAGCCACCCTTTGCCCACATCTGCAGCTACCAGGTCTATGGCATTCTCTACTGCCTCATTGGTGTC